TGGTTTTATGCCAATTTCTTGTGCCCTTTAGTATAGACTTACTTTTCTTCTCTGTTACTCAGTTCCATGGAGCATGTGTGTGTGTAGAAAGTCATCATAATCCTCAGGCTTTCCTGTGCTAGGAGAGATTGATTTGTTGTCTCCTCCCAGGCTACTGCTGACCCATCTCTGCTGCAGCTCCTCTTTCTGCGTTCTAGTGCTGCTGTTTGTCATCTTTGTGCAGCAGGCTCCTGATGTTTTCATGTTCATCTTGGGTTCTGTTGTCGCTTGGTCCACTGGATCTTTACATACAGGCTGTATAAGGCAATGCTTCCATCAGGAGCATGGTCCTGGGTAATGTGTGGTCTGCAGATCATCACCTCAGTTCCCTGTTTGTCTTCAGGTCTCCTTTAATATCACAGTTTTTCCTTTCAGTATTCCAAGTTCATTTTATTGGCAGACTTTTAGTGGTGAATGAGTGTTTGACTTGGAGCACCTGTGAGTCAGCCACAGCCACGCATCTGCTCGCTCCCTAGTAAACAGGGATTAAGCTTTCTTCCCAGGACAAGTCCTGCACAAGTTCTTCATTGCCCAGTAACCATTACAGCAGAGCTTGGATGCTTTGTGGAGTGGGAATCCCTGTTTCTACACTGCTGGCATTGGGCTCTGCAGAGAAAACTTAGACGTCTAGTACCCGGGTTTGTTGTGTTCCTAATGCTTGTCTGCCAACATCTGCATGATAGAAATCATATATACACACCTGTGCATATAATATATGCATGTGTATGTCTATATCTTTTACACAAAAGAAAATCTTAAACATGTAACACTTTGACAATACTTGCCTTACACAAACCCTATAGAAACAGTGCCCAGAACAAACCTGCCTCAGCGTTAGGGCTGTTTCATAATCTCTCTGGTAGGATTAGTACATGAAACAAGTTCCGCTCTTTCAAATGAGGAGCATCTCTGCCTTAGCATTTAGTGGTTTAGCTCTTCTGTTCAGTAATAACTGACAGGTAGCAGCACAGTTCTGCTATCTACCACCAACTTACACCCTGTGGGGTCTGAGTAATGGGAATCATGTTTTTCTTCAGCTTCCTTAATCATCAGCCTTAACAAGTCACAAATATTAGCCATATTTTTGTACTATGTGCTCACCCCCGCAGCAATGTAATATAGTGTAATATTCCAGAGATGTTAGTATTCATTCTTTTCCCCAGGCATATTTTAAGCCAGCACTGCCTTGCTTTTGCTTTGGATGCTCGTTTTGAAATTCAGAAGGAGAAAAAGTATGTGTTATAAAAAGCGTGTATAAAAATATTCAAATAACTTGGCATTGCTTTGTGGGCTGAGCTCTCCAGATGTGCCAGAGCAACTGGGTTTCCTGTTCTTGTGGAGACAAACTGGAATCCACACAACTTGGGGGGAAAAAAAGGGTCTCTGAAAGATCAGACATTATGGAGATTGTTTCTGTTATGAAGTTGTTTTGTTTTTTGAGCAACTTCTACTGTGTAAAGGTAAAATACATCAGTGGTAATGTGTTTAAAACAGGGGAAGTTCAGGAGAGATCTAAGGCAGAAGTACTTCCCTGTGAGGGTGCTGAGGCGCTGGCACAGGGTGCCCAGAGAAGCTGTGGCTGCCCCATCCCTGGCAGTGTTCAAGGCCAGGTTGGACACAGGGGCTTGGAGCAACCTGCTCTAGTGGAAGGTGCCCCTGCCTGTGGCAGGGGGTTGGAACTGGACGATCTTAAGGTCATTCCCAACCCAAACCATTCCATGATTCTATGATCGCTGAGCCTCCTGGCTCTGGATTTGCTCCTGCTCAGTAGCAGAGGAGTAGAGGCAACATTACTGCTTTGTCATAAATCCAAAGTGAGGTCCTTCACATTTGTCCTTCTGCATGAGATTTATCAGTGCATCATGTGGTCTCATTTTCGTCTTGATTAAGTAGCAGGAATATTGGAGAAGAGCTCTGCTTAGACATGGATTCAGTAGTGGATGCCACAGGACCAGTGATGAATGTGTCTAGCTGAGGATGCTTTAGGACAAAGGCACTGTCTCAGATGTAAGGTCACCTCCCAAGAACTGTGCTCTCCGTGGAGTCTTCTCTTTGAATAAATCAGGACAATAACTGGAGGCAGAGAAGACCTTTTGCTACTTTAAGCCTAATGTTGTGGACTTGGGTCTAACTGCAACCTGTGAAGATATGTGTGGGTCACCTTCAAGCTCGTACTGACAGCAGTGTAACTGCAGCAGATGGCTTTCACTCTCATCTGCAAGATCTGCTTTGATAAAGCAGAGCTTTATGTTGCCTTGCCTAGTTGCTAGCAGTAACCTACTAGTTAGCTTAAAATTAGCTTGTGTAAATATACTTGGAGGTTTCTTAGAAATACTCTTAAGGATTTGCTTCCTCTGTTCCCCCAGGTGTGGTGCGCAAGTGCAGGCAGTCAGAGTGCTGGATGGCAGAGAGGGGAGAGGGTGCAGGGAAGATGGAACCCAAAATGCAAGAGCTTAAATTGTTCCTTGTCAGTCCTACCACTGCCACATGACAGTCCTCTAGGCTCTGGTGGCTCATGCTACAGCTCTAGACTGCTGCATTTATGCCAAAAAACCTTCCTCAGGAGCAGCCAGTGCCTGTGTCTTTTTCTGCCACAGCTCAGTTGCTCCACAGACAGGCAAGAATCCCTGGGAGCAGGGGATAGGAGAGGTAGAAGGAAGTGCCTGTGCTTCACCAGAACACTGCGTTCCTCCTTCCTCTCTGGTGCTTTAGTTTAAGGATCATCTCTTGCATCCAGATTTCCTCAAATCGACGCTCATGAAAACCTGTGTCCATTGAGAGTCCTTTTCTTGCATGAGCTGATAAAAACACTTCTGTATATTGATAATGTATTGAAGTTCTGCAGAATCTTGGCACCTGAGGAGGGCCTGTTCTGGAGAGCTGGGAGCACAGCGCAGGTTGTAGGTGTGCTCTGAAAGGTTGCTCATTGCTGAGGGAGAAATGGGCTTCTGCCAAGCACCCCAGGAGGAGAAGGAGCCAGGCCATGGGATGGGTAGTGCAGTCTGCGCTGATGCTGTTATTTCACATGTCAGAGATACCCAAGGTTGTTCTATTACATGTGTGTCATCTCGTGGAGCTTGCAAAAGAAGCACTTGGTGCTGGATTTGAAATGCATTCCTTTGTATTTATACATTTCCATAAAGCAAAGTTTGCACATTCCAAAATGAGGGCAGGAGTAACGAGGAAGAATGGCAATTTTGCCAGGCATTTGGTGTTTACATGCAGGAAGCAGTTTGACAGGAAGGATTAAAAATGCAATTGAGGACTGGTGCTGTAAAAAGGTTTAATCCAGGAGCTCTGTGTTCAGTTTTCTCCAGAAATATCCTACCTAATGCGCTTTATCAGGGCATGCCCTTCCCAAAATGATCCCCTTACAAACGGAAGGAGAAATGATAAAATAGTGAATGTTTTTTTGTGTGTGAAATGCCCAAAGATGGTGAATCTGAGCAGGCAGGTTTCAGAAGCCCATGATGGACATATATATTTTATTACAAGAATATTTGAGTCTCTTATTACACTTCAGAGTCAGGTAGATAAATCTGTTTCAAGGCTGAAAATGGAATTCTTTTCTGTTGTCATATATGTCAAGGCCAATTGAGTATTATTCAGTAGAAATAATGAATTAGTCCTTTTCTAAAGAGCAAGTAGTCTAGAAGAATTCCATCCCCACATAAACTTGGATTTTGGGCTGGAGGGCAGGCTGGATTCAGGCCACATGGAGATGAATTTGCTTTGCTGGCCCAGAGGAAGGTTGAGCAGGATGTTAACTTCTGGGAAATGATCTAGATGTGTGTGTCGGGATCAGTGTGTTTCTTTCTCTTGTTGCTGGGATTTAAAGGTGTCTTAAGGGAAAATCCATTCCGAATTGCTTTTAGCAATGGGTTGACACCAGCAAATAATTTCTGATGCACTGTCTGCAAATCTGTGTCTTGACAAAGAAAATAGTTGTGCTTTGATTCTAAAAATAACATCTGGAGGTCGTGTTTAGCTTGTCTTCAAATTCAACTCCTTCAGTCTAGAGCTACCCTTGGGAACAATCTTGCCTTTTTCATCCTCTTATCCACTTCTAGAGGCAATTTTGAGTCCCAGATTCTTGTTTTGTGGAATATTTCTGTAGAAGCACATGGGGTTTGGGGTGTAGGATGGGCTGAGGTTCCTTTGCCATGCTCCCTTTACATGCTACGTGCTGCCTCAGCATGGGGATGGGGTAGCTTGGGCTGAGAGTGGTGGTGTTTGGTTATTTTAGTGGCTGAATCATGAGTAATAGTGGGGTTCAGTATCTAATGAAGAGATACTCCTGCTATAGGACTGCTCTGTGGGCTTCAGGGGAAAAAAGAGGTGGGGAGAATACCCCCATAAAGTTTGTAGTAATTATTTAACAGTGATAGGCTGGAACTGACTATTGAACTGAATTTTCTCCTGTTTGTTACTGGTCTGTGATGTTTCCTATAGAGTAGGAAATACTGTTTGCATCATGATACTTCTTTTGAGAAGGTTTCTAGAGATTCTGTGGGGCTGGATAGCAGCTTGGGGGGAATGAAACCTTCCTGTTGGACTATCAGTGCTGCCCTTGTACTGTGCTGTTTGAAGTATGAATGTCCAGAATGGATGTGCTCAAATTTCACTTTTCTGAGTAATGTCAGGGAAGAAGAAAGACAACATCTTTATTCCACCCTCTTTTTCCTAGGTAATTTGAAAGTATTTTCCATAGGTATGCCAGGAAATACAAGGTGCAGTATCCACACAAAATGCAGAGCTTTTGGGTGCAAGCATCTATAACACATAGAAGCATTTGGAGAAACCTTGAAGAGGAGCTTGTCAATGCCCGTGGACTGTGCTCTCAGAGCGTGTCAGCCCTCGTGAGGCCCGTTTGGTTGATTTACAGCAGTTTTGAGGCTTGGCTTTGTAAAGGAAAACCAGAATTGTATTTGACAGTTTTTCCTCTTTCTTTCTCGTAGTCTATGCAAGCAGCAAGGTGTCCCACCGATGAGCTGTCACTAACCAACTGCGCGGTGGTGAATGAGAAGGACTTCCAGTCTGGGCAGTAAGTGTGCACTGTTGCTCTTTCAACTTTGAACCAAAAAGAAATTGTTTTCAGACTTTGGGTGAGCGTGGAATGAAATGTCACGTTTGGGAAGGTGAATACAGGAAGTTAATTAACAAAACCTCTGTGTCTTTAGAGACCAAAGCTTTAAATCTGCTTCTTTCTCAGAACTGAAGATAGTGAAGTGGTAAATTTGCCTCTGAAGCTTTTCTTCGTTGGGATCTGGATCTGCTCAACTAATTATAATTAGTATTTTAATGAAGGACTTCAGGCCTTGATCTTTTTTTTTTGGTTTGGTTTTAGTTTTGCTGCTGTTCCTGTTACACAGCTAGAATGTTTGAAGTATTTCAAGTAGACTTTTATCATTTAATTGTGTTAGTAGGGGCATCTTTTCACTTCCACATCATGTTGGAGTGCTGAACAGTCAGTAGAAACTCTGTCTTGTTTAGGGGTTTTCATGCACAAGAACAAAAGGGAAAGGCAACCAGAGTGTGGGCACAACAGTTTGGATTCTTTAATTACAGTTTTGGGGTGACTGATAGACGCTGAGTCTGGGTTTTACTTCTGTGAGAAAAGTAGAAACCACCTCAGGTTTTCAGCTCAGCCCACACAGAAGCGCTTTGTATTCAAAGAAGCCAATTCAAATTAGTTTCCTTGCTTTCCTGCAGCTGCACGGTGGCTCTCTTGAAGGTTTCAATATGTAGATAGTAGACAGGAGGAATTAATTTCAGCAGGGTTTGACAAATGCAGAAAACAAGATAATGAAGGTATCAAATGATACACTTAGGCCCTTAGCATAGAATACCTGGCCCAGGTGGATTGTGCTAAGGCTGGAGACTGAAGCGGCTCTGAACCGTGGGGACGAGAGAGCGATGTGCTTGAAGACTTGCCTCTTTTTGTGCTACCAGTCTGCTGTGCTGCTACCCTGGGGAGCTCTCCTGGCCTGTTAGTGATTAACTGTGTATTCACAAGCCCAATTTGTGTATAAAATGCCAAACCAATACAAAACCAACCCCCCTAAAAATTCCAAACGAGCACAACTTGGAGAGTCAGTAGCAGGCAAAAGGATGTGCTTGGGCAGCTAGTGTCCTGGTCTCTTTAAGTGATGACACCAGGTAGATCTTTTCCCAAAATAATTGGCCTATAGAAATACCTGCACTGAGCATTGTACCTCATGCATTATACAAATGTTAATTTCCTCAACTCTGAACAACCTGGAGCTGCCAGAGCTGCAGCACCCGCCTGCATTCCTTTTGCTCTGAGACCCCTCATTCATGTTCATGGAAGCAAGCAGGAAGCAACATCCTGAGGCTTGCCTGGTGAGCAGGCTGGCCATGGTTCTGCCTGTCCTGATTCTCCCTGAAAGAGCTGCTTGTTTCTAGAAATTGGGGCTCATAAGGAAAGCAGCATATGTTTGGTCGTGAGCAGATGCTATAAATTGCTTTGTAAAATGTAAGCCTGGAGTACAGAGAATCATCACGATATTCAGCTACTACTGAGGGATGTAGTCATTCTGCTGCATTGCAGATACACTGAGCAGGACCATCCTTAGGATCTGCTGCAGTAAGGTGCACACAGTCAGCAGATTTGGTTTGTAGCATCCCAGCCATGCCTGGCTGCACAGAATGTTTTTGGTAACAGTTACACAAAGGACTTTGATTTAACACTTCCATTTGAGGCTCACAGTGTAGACCTTGGAGTTTGACCTTGGATATTGATGTGGTTTATCCCCAGGATGCCACTGTAGATCTTTTCATGCTTTATTTTCTGCATCCTCTAAGTTGGACAAGTGTGAGTCACTGCTTTGTGACGCATGAGTTCACGGCATGCAATGCATCAGGGTAGTGCTGTGGTGGTTGATAACTTGCACCATCTGAAATGCTTGTGACACACTTTCTTGAGGACTCCCATTGTATTTTGGAGAGAGGAACAAGTGCTGAAAACACCCAGGCAGTGAAGGAAGTCAGGGCATGGTATCTCAGTGGCAATATTTTTAATGTTGAGAAATGATTAATTATTCTTACCTGTTATTCCTGCCTTTTACATGGGAAGACCACCCCTTTTATCTCATGCCAGTTTAGTTACCTGAAGAGCCCTGAGGAGCCTTGCTGAATAATTAACATGGGTTTCCAACCATGCATCAGAGAAGTATTTGCTCACTTTGTTCAGCTGCTTCCTGGCATCTTTGCACAGACATGTAAGGTGTCCTCTCCCTTACAGAAGCTATGCTCTTTCTTCACTAATATAGAAACTAATGGGCACACAGGGTCATTTTATCTATTACAGTTTCTGTTGGTTTGCTCAGCAAATTAGCAACAGTTAGTTTCCTGGGTCAGGTCTGGAGTCCTCCTTAAGAACTGGCATCACAGCCATGGTTTGATTCTGCTAATTTCAGGCAAGGCTTTACACATGAATTAGACAGAGCAGCAGTTTCATCTCTTCAAGCTATTGGGAGATATCTGGCCCTGGTGACTCACTGTTCCTTTTGTTCATTTCGAAGTAGAAGCAGTTCCTGAGGTTGAAATTTCCCTGCTCCCCGGGCTTGCCAAGCTCCTTCCTGGTGAACATCAGTGTAGGAAAATGCATTCACTTTTTCCTGCTATTGCCTTATTTTGAACATTCTTAGGTTATTTACAGCCTGTTGGAAAATGCTTCTGCTGCTTTGAGAAGCAACATGGTTGTTCCTGTGCCTTTAGCAGAGTTTTCTCAGAAGAACCTGTCAGGATTTGACCAGATCTTCTCACTTGGCTAATTTATTTTTGTTTTATTTCTTTTCCTTTTTTCTTTCCTGGCATCTCTTTGCCTTCTGTCAGGCTCTGCTGTCTTTCTGGCTCGCTGGAAATGATTTTAGTGAATGGTATGCTCCAATATAGTAAGATTAATTTATATCAAATCTTTGTGGCTACCCCCACCCCACAGTATTTTTGCCAAGTATCCTCATTTTCTTGCATTTTCCTGTTTCAGAGTGAAACCCAACAGTGGTGGAGTTTGTTTCTTCCTGCAGAGATGCTGAAACTCATACACATTAAACTCACTGTTGTGTTTTGAGCCAAACTTAATGCAGTGCTCAGGATCCACCCCAGACTTAAGAAGCTTTAATCCTGGGTCATTTATACTGTCTGATGAGCTGCTTCTAGTAGGGTGTTACTTGTCATTAGGTATTATTTCTTGATGAGGTGTTCCAGTAGCATAGCTGGAACTTGTATTTTGCCTGCAGACATGCTTACTAACACTGCAGTGTAATACCTTGCTTCCCAGTTGCTTGTGTATTGATCAGGCTCATACACTCTGTGCTGAAAACCACACTGCCCGCTTACCCAGTTGTATTTCATCAGTTTGTCTGTCAGGGTTGTAAAAAGCATTGCTAACATTGAGATAAACAATGCCCACAGCTCTCCTTTTGTCCTCACCATTTCATCCTAGAAAGCTATCATACTGGTCAGGCCTGTTTTTCCTTCACAAATCCATGCTGACTACTCCCAGTCACTTCTTGTTCTTTAATATGTTTGCCTTACAGGAGTAGTTGTTCCACCACCTTCCTAGGCTTGCATCCTCCTTGAAGACAGGAACAACACTTGCTTTCTCCCAGTCCCCAGTACTTCCCTGATCACCATGAAGCACCAGTAAAAGTCTTGCTCTGCCTCTGTTAAGATTTACAGGGAACCATACCACTTCCAACAGGTTTCTGGATTTACGCCTGGGGCAGGAGGAGATGGAAAAGGAAGGATGCCCATCCCTGCAGCTCATTTTATGCATCTAATGGGTGATTTAGGGCCAGAACCAGTGAAGGATCACTGGTCCACCTGCCAGGGGATGTATGTATCACACTGATGTGTTTAAAATGCTTTCTTATCCTGCTATGCCATTAAGAGCTAGCAGTTGCTGGCAAGGTTTTGCAAGCTTCCCTGCCTGTTTGGGCTAAAGCTGGTGTTGTCTAGTGGTTTTAGGTATCCAGGCCACGCATTTCCTCTAGTCTTAAAGAGCCGTATGTTCCTTCCCACCATGTGGCTGAAGCTGTTATGCACACACAGTGTAGCCTGTGATCTGCTTTTGGATGGTGCTGGATTTGCTGTGCATATGCAAATGGGAATGTATGGAGCATATGTGCATGTAATGTATTCACTGCCAATGAGGGGGGATGGCCAGGAGCGTGGGCCTTGCCTGTTGGCATAGTTCACCTGGCCCTTAGTTTGACTGTGGATAAGAGGGGAACACCACAGGAGTTGGTGGCCTTGCATAATCTATGGATAGTTAAAGTACAGACAGATGTGAAGAAGATGAGGTGAAACCATCGCCCCTGCCACCAGTGCACACAAATTCCATCTTCCTTTTGGTTTGCTGTCTTATGCCAAGAAGAAGTCTGCCTATCAGATGATAAGAGCTATCAGGCATAGTCTGACGATGACTGTAAGCAGCTTTTGAGTATCTTTGTTCCTGACAGCTTAGCTTCTGAGAGTGACAGACACACACATGCAATGGCTGCTGCTCTGTCTGCTCCTGACTGTATTGTTCTGTTTTTATAACAGCATTCCTGGTCTTCAGCTGCTGTCTTAGTTCAAGGTCTGTTGGTCGCTATCAAACGGGAGGAACAGCCTTAGCACCCATGTGATTTTACTTTTTGTACAGAAATTCCTTCCATTATTTCTGCAATCAAACTTCTAAACAATATACCAAGATCCTTGAACAGGCTTTGCATCTGTTTCTTGTTGAAATCACAGCTGGGGGGTACTGCTTGTATTGGGGTAAAATGTTCATAGAATCCTAGAATGACTTGGATTGGAAAGGACTTTACAGCTCCTCCAGTTCCAACCCCCTGCCACGGACAGGGACACCTCCCACTAGAGCAGGTTGCTCCAAGCCCCTGTGTCCAACCACTGCCAGGGATGGGGCAGCCACAAAAATTAGTCCAGAAAGGAACACCAATACAAGTGCTTGTGATACAGTTTTGCTGCTGTTACTTCTGGAGGAGTTTGGCCTCTAAGAGTATATTTCTCACCTTTCCAAGGCAGTTTATCCCCAAGGCACCTTGAGATCCCTGGCTGCCTCCTTCCCCTGTGCCTGGAGAACTGTCAATTTAACACATAGGTATTTAACTCCAGACTACTGAGTGATCTGATACTGATGCTTTGGTGTTGGATGCTTGAGATGTGAAACCAGTGTTGATTTTTAGATATAGTAGTCTTGGTCTTTGTGGTTATAACTTGATTCTCTCACACTTGTATGGGGCAGTTCCTGAAGCAAAGGGCTACTGGTGGAGGAATATAAATAGTGGTTGTTAGTACCATGTCTTGCAGCTGGATTTAGAGATCTTGTGATATCATTGAAGGTGACAGATCCCTGTGGAAGACTTCTGTGTAGACCTGCATCATGGTATAGGTCTAAAGCTTTTGTTTTCTCCTTCATAGGACCAGGGATAAGCTGGCTTGTTTCTTTTGAGTTCTCAAAAGAACTCAATGCAATGCAAAATCCTCCTGGCTATATAGAGCCATAGAATAGTTTGGGTTGGAAGGGACCATATGGTATATGTAATATAATTCCAGTATAGTGAAGTAAAATACTGTTCTCTCTTCTAGACATGTTGTTGTGAAGACTTCTTCCAACCACAAATACATATTCACACTGAGAACTCACCCCTCGGTTGTTCCTGGCAGCATCGCGTTCAGCTTGCCCCAGGTACTGTATGGTTGGACTTACCACTTTGCTATAGAATAAATCTCTTTTGAGATCAGGATTGAAGACAACTTGTCATTGGAGGGAGATGTCTGCCTAAATGTGTGCTGCAAGTTTGATTTCTGACAGCGAAAGTTCAAGAAAACTTTTACTATCACTGAAGAAAATTTGCTTGTATTACTTTGATCTACTTTTCGTGCATGGTGGGATAAAGATACTGGAAAAGGTGTTAATTTAACCTTTCAAAAACCCACCAGAAACAAACTATTTCCAAAAGAAAAGCCTAAGCAATAGCTGCTATTCCTTGTGAATTTTTATTGTTCTGTTTTCCCTTGACTTTAAGGAGTTTCCTTTGTGGTGTTGCTCCTTTAAAGATGTGCTGGAAGGTTTTTGACTCTGTTCAGTCATTGTTAGTGTTTTCAGATGAAGAGTGCAATGAAATGCATAAAATAGATTTAACTTATCTCCTTTCTTAAGTCAAGTTATCCCATGTTAAATGATGGTTAGAGTAAATAATACTATTCACTTCTAAATAGGAAAATGAATCTTGCAGCTTTTCAGTGGCTCACACAGTGAGTTGCATAACGCAGAGGTGCAACAGTGATGGTCACTGATTTAGTGCTTTAGTTACTGCTAGTAACTGGTCTAGAAGCTGAGTCCATGCTACAAACACAAGACTTCTTTTCCTCAACATATGTCTTGGCATATGCCCCAAAAGGACTTTCTGCTTTGTGACATGTTGTTCAAATTCATATTTGTCTGGATGAGCGGGTGAAGAGAATGTTATGTTGACCATATGTCTAACTATGATTTGTGATGCTCAAACTGAAAAGCAGTTATCAGTAGAAGATATTTGTATCACAGGGTTAAAGTAGATGCACTCATGGTCTAGGGTTGATTTTTGTAGATTCCAGTTGTTGTTGAACCAGGAGACCTCCTCTGCTAAGGAATGAGGTAGGTTGGTTACATCTAAAAAGTGACTATGAGGTAGGCTGGATGCCTCTTAAAAGGTGACTAGGGTTGTGTTACAGCTACTGGTAGGTGTTCTATTTGAGTATTCTTGATGCTGGGCTTTAATTTCCATTGTTTCCTGAAGCCTTGGAACCAGTGTTACACAAAATATGTGCTTGCCTTATGCATGCATGGACGGTCATGTGGTAGACACAGGCTCTAAGATCTCCAAAAGTCTGTTTGTTGTGCATTCATTATGCACATGAAGTTCTTGACCACCTTTACTCTGTAATAATGTTAATTCCTAGGCTTAAAGACCAAAAACTGTGAAAAAGTTTGTACACTGCAGAGCCCAAAAGATGAGAGCTACACATTTTGTAATTATCAAGCCAGAGCTGTTGGCACAGTAAAGCTTGTAGGTTTTTGTATCACATAATTAGTGGACCATTTCCCACTCGACATGCAGTTCTGTGCTGCACAAATATTTTACAAGGAATTTGAAGGGACCTAGAGGATTTGAACAGTTTCATTCTTACTAATTCTCTGAACAAGTGTTGTTTTAGGTAATATTGTTCCTTAAAGCACATTACAACCATTTCCTGCAACTAGTATATACAGGTAAGCTTTTAAAATGGTCATGGAGCTTGTAACAGCCTTTCTTGCTTCTTGCACTACCTGTTGTGTGATCAGCACCTGAGCTTTGGTAGGAAATGAGCAGAATGACAAAAGCCCTATCCAGGATGTTATCTTCTGCCTCTGAGACAAGGGGTGATCAATAACATGAAGAAGGTTGAACTGAACAAATTCCTAAGGTCAGAAAATAGAATTATTAATAGAAATACTTCCATGTTTTTGACTTGTTTTCTCTTAAGCTGGGGGTCTTTTGTAAGATCCCATTCTGCCCTTTTTTGCTGCTGCTTAAGGTTCTCATGGAGGAGGTGCTTTTCTGAGTGAGGATGCTGTCTCTGAGGGGGTGTTTGTTCTACCAAATGACAGGATTTGTGACGTTGTTGTCTTGTTTTGACAGAGAAAATGGGCTGGACTCGCCATCGGGCAAGAGATAGATGGTAAGTCAGTTAGCAGCATGATGGTGACCTACCTTTACAAAAGCTGAGTTCTGTTTCCATACTGAAGCAAAACTGAATTGGAAACATCTCAGACCTTCAGCCCTTCTTCAGGTAATACGAGGCCCTTGTTAGTGAAAGGCAGTTGCTCTTGTGCCTGCAGGCTTTCTGCCTCTCCATGTTTTCAAAACCTGGAGGACTATTTTGACTGTTCTTGTCATACATCTGCTGGTAGGGGAATCTCACTCATTGGCTGTTTGTTTTCCCAGCTCCTTTGGGCTCAGCAAGTCTGTGGATGTGTATCTTGAATGTGTCTTTGTCTAAAGTGGGTCTGTTTGCCCCTCTACACAAGTAGATGCCTCACAGGTCTTGTGTGGAAGCCAATTCTTTTTGCTAGCTGATTTGGTTTTGTTTTCTAAACTGAGAAATAACCTATAACGAAGGAGGAAGACCCATAAATTAAAGTTTCTCACCCTTGTTTGTTCACTGGTCAGTGACATGTGCCAGCTGCCTTACAGATAAGTGATTTTTAGTGCTGAAGTTATTTGGGGAAGGAAACACTAGTATTTATTCAGCATGATTAGCTGAATACTAAGAGCACTTTTGTGATTGTACTTGTACCAGACCTTGCTATAAACTTACCAACTATGTGGGAACATGTGTTCAGAAGAATAATGCAGTAATTTTATGCAGAGTGACTAAATGTCATATGACTCCCTGCTGAGTGTAAAGGATTTGTAAAGTTATTCTACAGGTAAGGAGAAGTATTCATAAAAGTAGTGATTTACCAGGGCTGTCTCATTGTCTAGTTCCCTTAATAATGTGAAAACTATGTTTTAAATGTCAGTTTTAAATGGAGTCCTGTGCTTAGTGGTACAATCCCCTTGAGCCCCTAATAATATGGTAAAGGTTTTCCAGGTGAGTGGATATTGTTAGGGGGCTGACTGCTTCAGCTGCATTCTCCACACTGGGAGGTCACTGGTACCTCCCCAGCGTGACCCTCTGTTTCTAGGATGTTACAGGGTTTGGGGGCTGGTGCTGTTTGGTGCCTTCTGTTCTGCATCCCCAGTGAGGCATCACTGCTCTCCTCTGTACCACGCATCCCCAACATTCAGTCCTTGATGTCAGGACTACTCATATTCAGTTGACACCTCAGTTCTCTGATGTGATCAGATGCAGGGACTAATACTCTTTCTGGAAGCTTTTGTTTGACAAAGCCCTGAGGTTAGGCATGTAAAAGGAAATAACTGCCCTGATGTAACCTATAAGGTAAGAAGAACTCCTGTTGTTCCCTTGCAGGATGGAAGTTTCTCCTTCATTAGTCTGGCTTATGAGATAATCTGCTGCCATAGCCCTTTTTGAAAGAACTGGTTGATGTTGTAGACCCACCTCAGTTCAGGAAGTGATTTCCTGTTTCATCTTTATTTCCTGGAAGATCTTTTTGTGACAGCTCATTTCTAGGTGGCCTGTTCTTACACCAGGAAGGATGTTAAACGTGCATGCTATGATGGATGACCTCTGTGTCTTCTGGTAGCAACTTAAGCAAGAGACTGGCTCTCCCAATTCTCTTAATTTGAACGAATCATGTATCATAGCATGGTGGGTGCTTGTTTTGACATCACATCTTTCCAGGCATCTGCAGGTTTGTTCTGGAATCATTCTTCTGCCAAGGGGCTTGATAGGAAATATTAATTTCCCTTATTCACTGCTTTGTGACAGCCTGTCCTGATCAGCTGTGCTGGGGCAGGATCCCTGAGCTTGTGGCCTGTGCTCTTCTTCCCTTTCTATCTCTTTTCCTCCAGCAGCAGCAGCCCTAAGTGGCCTCTTGTTCTTGACTGATGTAACTTGGTCACCTGTGTGGATTAGGTGCAGTTGGCAATGTCTTCCATTCCACTTTGCTTTCTGCCCCCTTTTGGGGGCTGTTCAGTTGATTCTGCATTACTGAAGGAAACCTGGGGCATGTTAGGATAGGCCCAAGTGCACCTCTGGGGTAGGGGTTGTTTCCTCTGTCAGAGATGGGGGGTAACTGATGCTTTGTTCTGGGCTGTAGAAGCCTGATAGATTATGTTACTGCACACATCTGGAGAAGAGCTGGTCAATGTGTTGCAGATACAGCTGTTGTGGCATGACAGCATCTGTGAATTGGTTTTCCTTGTCCTCATCCCCCAAAGCCTGTGTGGTGTTTGAGCTGTTTTAAAGCAGACTATTAGAGTTTTTAAAGAAATGCAGGGATTTTCAGTGGAGATATGTTGCTGTATATTTGATCTAATGAGAGAACATGGATGTGGGAGAAATAAGGGTCAGAAATAATACATTCAATTTTATGAAGTGCTCATTCGGAGTGAAAGAATATGTACTGCCCATCTTTAATGTGTTGTGGGAGGACTGTGCAGTTCTGAAATGTGCTGTTTCTTCTTTCTTTAACAGTTTCCTTATACACTTTTGACAAGACTAAGCAGTGTATTGGCACAATGACCATTGAGATCGATTTCTTGCAGAAGAAGAACATTGACTCCAACCCCTACGACACAGACAAGATGGCTGCTGAGTTCATCCAGCAGTTCAACAGCCAAGCCTTCTCTGTAGGCCAGCAGGTAGGGGGTTGCCTTTGCTTCTGAAGTCTAACATGGTCTTCAGTAACATGCATGTGCTTTTGTGCTACAGGGATGGGAGATACTGAAGAATGCCTGGGTACCATCTTCGTGCTGCAGAGAACAGCTCATAGGCAGAGATGATTTACTGTGGCAATGGGTTCTGTGTGCAGAGTTGAACCAGCATGGCTTTCACTGAGAGCATGAGCAGAGTCGTTTAAAATCTGCCTTTCCTCATCTAAAGAAATCTATCTTTCTTTGTGAGGAAGATTCCCAAGGCTTGAGCCAGCTGGGTTCTCTCTGGTGTGGCCTGGTTGGATATAAGCTTGGCAGCTCCTGGAATCTTCCAAGAAGTAACTGTTGTCTCTCTTCTGTATAAGAGCAAAGTGAACACCAGGTTTAATTATCAGTAGCACCTTTCAAGTGCAGTGCATTTTATTATAACATTTATTGCTACTCTAAGGACTCCAGTTGTAAAATAGGGATTTTGGGGACTTCTGAAAGCTGATGTCCCTGTAACCGAGCCTTCTCAGTTCTGCAGCAGATGGGCTTCTGCCCCTGCCAACATCTGGGATAGCCTCTGGTTTGCCATATTCTCAGGGTGGGTCGAGGTCTGCCTCTCCTAGTAGTTTACAATTGGCAGGGCCTTAAGTGTAATCTTGGAGGAGAGAATTGTGCAGAGCGTGCTTTTCTGTGGGACAGACCCTGCTTCTCATAATATTCATTCTGTCTCTCATTACTCTAGCACTGATTTTGAGGTATCCTTGTCAAACTGAAATGTGAAAGGTCAAAAGGCTTGAGCTAAAATTGTTCTTCTTGCCTGGCCTCAATATCTAAAGAGGAAAATGTCAAGGGATGGTACAGAGCATTTAGCTGGGGAGAAGAGGGAGGAAAAGAGAAGCTTTTCTTGGAAAGAGAATTTTTGTTTGAGTTTTTCCAGTTGACTTCATATTCTGCTACTTTTGGTCTGTTACTCTTAAGTATAGGACATGAAAAGCACATGTTCCTTACACCAGACCTTTACAGGGTAAAATCTACAGGGAACTTTTTGGGTGGTAAACTTAGTCTTCAGGTTTTTCTCTCTTCAAAAATCCTTTATTTCTTTTCTCTTGTCAAAATCCTTTTTAGCTTTTGAATGAATGAAACTCCCCTTCTGTTTTTTCTTTCCACAGCTTGTGTTCAGCTTTAATGACAAACTGTTTGGCATGGTGGTAAAGGACATGGAAGCTATGGACCCCAGCATTCTCAAAGGAGAGTCTGGAACAAGCAAAAAGCAAAAGGTGGGCTTACAGGAATTCATGTTCATTCCCTAGGGACTGCAGAGATCCAGGTACTGATCAGATCTTGCTATCAAGAGGAATTTAGGTTACTTGCATTTGGAGAAGTTGCACATTTGTTTTATCTGGCTGTGCCATTTGCCTCAGGGAAGACAAGGAGCTTCTGCTTTCAGTGATGATCTTTTAGAGGTGGTGGTGTTGGTGTTTCTTCCCAGTGAATTTTGTAGTGGAGCCTTTGCTGCTGTTTCTTGCCTTTTGAGATGTGCTTGGAAGATACCTAAGGAGCTATAGGAAATTGAGTCTAATAATTTAAGGTAATGATTTGTTTCCCTCCCTTTTGCAGATTGAGGTTGGTTTGGTTCTTGGAAACAGTCAAGTTGCCTTTGAAAAAGCTGAGAACTCCTCTCTCAATCTGATTGGTAAGTGCCACTCTAAAGAGGTAAATACTGCTTGAAATTTGCTGCTTTTCAGGCCTCAGAGACTTGTATGCCTCAAAGTGGAGAAACCACCCCTGCAGCAGGCTCTGCTGCTTCTGAACAGGGGCTCAATAAAGGTCACTGTCCTCCCACTATGAAGCTCTACAAGTGACCAACATACTAGAGCAGTTCTGGGGTGTCTGTTCCACACATATCACCATCCAAAATAGAGACAGAGATAGGAGGAGAAATGGTGAGTATGACTTTGGGAGGTCCTGACAGTACCAAATTGAGTTGGGTGTGTAGAGAAGTTAACCTGCACTCCTAGACTTAGATTAGAAGGGCACAATGGACCAATAGATCCAGCAGAAGACAGCAACTAGTTGAAATAGTTTAACTCTTTAAACACCAGAGAATGCTGTTTCTCAGGGACACCAACAAGGCAGCACTGCTCTCATTACCTTTAATTAAACCAGCAGGGAAATAGGAAATGAAGAACTTGCTTGGATGTGTAGCCCAAATTTCAGAGTGAGTGCAAAACTTCTGCAGTTGCCATCTCTAATGAGATCTTCTCTTCAAGGAGAGGGCGCATCTTCTGAAGAGCACTTGGCTTTTCTTCACTTCTGAAAGTGCTGCTCTTCAGAAGCTGGTGGCAGCTGCAAAACACAGCACAGTGGGTTCATGGGGTGTTTAACTGTCCACACAGCAAGATTATGAACAAATCTGAGCTTGTTCTAAAGAGGCAGTTTCTAAAACCTCAACAGAACAAATCCTGTACAATTTCAGATGTCACTACCAAAGAAATGGTGGAATAATTGCTGTGTCCTTCACACATTCAATTAGAAGCTGGTGTAGGGCTAGGGAGGAATCTGGTTTGTTCCCATAGAGCCACAAGCTTCAGTGATGGGGACCTGGGCCACAGAGCGGGCAATGGGGGCCCCTTCTCTGCAGTTGGCTTTGTGTGTGCCTGGTGGCTGTCCAGCCAGACTAAATGCTCTGTTAGTCTGGCTGTTCCTTATCAGTGTTGAAGAGGAGGATCCTAACCAAGCCTACACTTGCAAATACCTCCCTTACTGGTAGTATGGCTCTAGGGATTCTTTTCTGGGTGTGATTCAAGTCCTGTACTTGAATCACACTCTTTTTTTCTTTTTTGTTTTGCTTATTTTCCTTTCCTATTTTGTTCCCTCTTCCTGTAATCCGTGAGCTAAGGAACAACTTTTGCTGCTGTTCTTCCACAGATAGGAAGTGGTAGGTGAAGGTTGCTGGGAGTGGGAGTTCAGGGCACCTGGCCAGCTCAAGTGAGCACTCACGTGAGTTTCAATGCTGATTATTTTTGTAGTAGGCTTCAAAGCACAGCTCTGCTTGACAATACTCTGTTCCTAGAAATTAAACATACAAGGCTAGTAGCCACTGAGGAAAGTAGAATTCAACTCATCCAGTGTTACAGGAGCTTGAGGCAGAGGCTGAGTTCTGATGCTGCTCTGAGGTCCATAGGTTTCATTGTAGGTGACTGTAATGAAGCATATTAACAAAGATAGAGGTTTTAAGAATGCTGAGTGAAATTTGCATGGGCAATTAGTTCATACCTGTGATTATATGATTACAGCCCATTTAGTTTTTACTGTGTTTTGATAAAACAGCTTGAGGTATTAACATAATCCAGTTTATTGCACCAAGGCAAGCAGTGATCACAGAATCCTAGAATGGTTTCTGTTGGAAGGGACCTTAAAGCTCCTTCAGTTCCAAGCCCCTGCCACAGGCAGGGACACCTTCCACTAGAGCAGGTTGCTCCAAGCCCCTGTGTCCAACCTGGCCTTGAACACTGCCAGGGATGGGGCAGCCACAGCTTCTCTGGGCACCCTGTGCCAGCGCCTCAGCACCCTCACAGGGAAGAGCTTCTGCCCAAGAGCTCATCTCAGTCTGCCCTCTGGCAGGTTCAAGCCATTCGCCCTTGTCCTGTCCCTCCATCCCTTGTCCCAAGCCCCTCTCCAGGTTTCCTGGAGCCCCTTTAGGCACTGGAGCTGCTCTAAGGAGTCGCCTTCTCTTCTCCAGCTGCCCCAGCCCAGCTCTCTCAGCCTGGCTCCAGAGCAGAGCTGCTCCAGCCCTCGCAGTGGCTCCGTGGCCTCCTCTGGCCTCACTCCAGCAGGTCCACATATTTTACTTGCTTGATATTCAAAGCCATATGATGACCTGTGGTGTTCCTCCTAGCCTGTATAGGTGTGAAGAGTGCTCCTGTGGGAGAGCTGAATGATTGGAAGTAGGAATCCTTCTTGGTGATTCAATTTCACTGTCTGCAGACAAGACAAGAGTTGCTTATGCCTCAATTTACTTCTGTCAGCTTGGAACTTTATTTAATCTCATTGATCTGAGGCAGAGGCACTTAATGTGCTTTGTTGGTCTCTAGAGAATTGTAAAGCTCTGAATAATTAAATTCTGAAAGAGGAGCTAAAAGTCAAGTAAGTGTCATGGAGCACTGCCTTCAATAAAGGGCCTTTCTCTTTTTCAATAGAAAAGAATTGTAATAATTAAAAGCAAGCCAATTCTATTTCTCCCATTTAGCATAAAATGATGTGCTATAAAACCAGTGGCTGATGTTGGAATTCAGTCTGCAAGAACTTCATTGTGATCAGATGCAGCCAGAAGGGGGGGGTGTAGGCTAAGCTCCATGGGAAGAGGAACATCCCTGGCCCAGTGGTCTGATCTAAAAGCTGTAGTGGAGCAATGAACTAATAAATACACAGTAATCAGTGAATTAAATGCTCACTGCTGCCCTACACAGTGCTATGGATTGGTGCTGTATGTTATATGTGCTACGAAGTTGTCCCTAAGCTGTTAGTAAAAAGCATGTTCTTGTTTGTGTTGCTGCACTTGGCATTGAAATACTGATTCCAGGTGTGTTTAGTCTGAGATTAATAGCAGTGTAATTCAGCTAAACCAGCACATTGGTTTAGTGTACTTACTGGACTAGAGATGCTAACTCATGATCTGCCTCAACCTGGAGTATCTGTAGAACAGATTAGGGAACAAATCAGCAAAATGCACAGTTGTAGTTTGCCCCCATTGGCTTTTTAGGGGAGATAAGGTCCCTTTTCAGAAGTATTCTGGAGAAGTTCTAGAGAACTACAGGTCTTTGAGCCTGAAACCTGTACTGAAGGAATCAATAGAAACTGTAATAAAGAATGTAAGTCGTGAATACCTTTCTAAAGGTGGTACACTGGGAAGGTCAGCCCGACCTCGTGATCTCACCAGAGTTCATCGTGGGAATCAGAAAGCACAGGCATAAAGGCTGATGTAGGCTGCTTGTTTTGCAAAGCTCTTCCAGCACAGTTCTTTATCAAAGTTTCTTTAAAAAGAATCTGAACAAAGATCTGTAAGAGAGAAGGTCCTGGTGTGAGTAGATGAGTGATGAAAGGGTAGAAGTAAATAGCCAGGGCCAGTGGAGTTCAGCATGAGTCTCTGCTGAGGCCTTTTCTATTCCTTATTGAATAAACTGGAAAAAAGGGTGAGTAATGAGGTGACAAAGCTTGCTCTTATGGATCTTGGTGACTAAGAAATCAAATGGCAGAGGAAATTCAATATAAATAAATATAAAGGGATGTGTGGGAGGAAAAACACTCCTAACCTCGGTCAAAAATGATTGCTGTTTTGGGCCAAGATCCCAGGTCTGATAGTTTCAAGGAGATGCTGGACCCACGCTCAGTAGCAGCCTGAGCCCTGTTGTTCAGAATTATTACTCATTATTAATAAAGGAATATGAACAAAGCAGAATGTAATTTTGTACCTGTATTTAAGATACAGTGCATGCAGTTCCTGTCTGACAAAGGATGTAGTAGAAATAGAGGAGACTGAAAGGAGAACAAGGGCGTGCAAGTGTGGAGCAGCTGCTGCATAGGGAAGGGAGAACAAGCGAGGACAGCTCTGCCTGCAAAAGGCATGTCAGAGGAGGACACAGAACAAACCTTTTATCATCCCAGGTAGCCTGAAAGAGAATGGAGGCTGATACTATTCAGAGAAGTTGTGCTTGCCCTGGGAAGCTGTGGCTGGCCCCTCCCCGGCACTGTTCCTGGCACTGTTAAAGGCCAGCTTGGAGCAACCTGCTCTAGTGGAAGGTGTCCCTACCTGTAGCAGGGGGTTGGAACTGAATGAGCTTTAAGGTCCCTTCAACCCAAACCGTTCTATGATTATTTACTGCCTTTTCAGATACAGGACTTGGGAGACATGAAATGAAGCTGGTAGGAGCTGGTTCAGAAACATGAAATGAGGTGTTTGGTTGTGCAGGCATGGTGACATGCTGTGGGGCACTCTGGGTTCCAAGTTTACATGGGTCCAAGGGCACCTGGGTGAATTTGTGGCAGAGAAACCTACTGTGGATCCTTAAATACAGAAGAGCAACACCTGGCTCGTGAGATCCCTGAAGTGAACAATTGGAAAGCTGGGAAAATAGTTGGCTGCCTAAGCAGGAATCTCTGGTATATTGCACTTGCATCCTTGCCATAGTGCATCCTCCTGGCTAACGTCTGCTAGGACCAAACATCAAGTTAGCTGGGAGTGGGTCTGCCCTGGTAGAACTGTTCTGCTGTTTGTACTTCTGTTTGCTGTATTGTGCTGTGCTCTGTGTTTGGAATGACTTCTTGGTTTTGCAGGTAAATCAAAGACCAAGGAGAACCGCCAGTCTATCATCAACCCAGACTGGAACTTTGAGAAAATGGGCATTGGGGGCCTGGACAAAGAGTTCTCCGATATTTTCCGGCGAGCTTTTGCTTCTCGAGTTTTTCCTCCTGAAATTGTGGAGCAAATGGGTGAGTACAATCCAGAGAAGTATGGCTGGGGTACAGGATACAGCCTGCTTCTGGTCTGTAAAGGCTGCATATCAACTAACAGCCTTATGATCCTATAATGTGGCAGTTTCTTAGGGATCTAATAGACTAACAAAGCCTGTTCTTCCCCTGTTGCTGCTGAATGTGTTTCTTACTCTTGTTACTTGGCTATAGAAGGGGACAAAGAAACAACATGAATACTCAGCACCGAATGAATGAGATACATGGTTTAAGTGAATACTTTTCTGTTGGAACTGAAACTCTCCCTATTCTTTTGAATGCTGCATTTATTTGTAGCAGCGAGACTGAATGTTCCTATTCCTGACTTACTGAGCTGTCTATATTGGTCAAAGGAAATTCTGTCTTAATGATGCTGCTCTATGTATTAAATATCTATTGTCCTGGCAGTTGCATTATAAACCCATGTCCTTCTCACTCGGGAGATAGAGCTGCTGGTGTGACCTATGCTTGGTCAGATTTGAAGTGCTGGAGAGGATGCACAGGCCGTGGCACGCCCTGGGGTTTGTGAAATGAAAGCTCAGGTTCTAAATATAACTTTCGGGGGGGGAGGGCTGGGGAAAGGAAAGGCAGTCCCATGACTTTGTAAACATGTGCTGGCAGGCGGATAAATGGTGCTGGTTTGGGTTTGTAGTAAGCAGTGTGCAGCTGCAGGTGTCTTATTTTGTCTCATGAGGTGGCTGGGGATGTTATAGCTGGTGCTTGTTCTCTGAGTATAATCTCTGTGGGTTCATATTTAAACTTGGAACCTGTAGCTGTATAATTTCTGTGTGTGTTTATATGTCTTGATCCACCTTCCCTCTCCCCCCAAATGAAGCATTGAGCTTTTGATTACAAACCTGATTTTCCTTAGAAGGTGGGTCCTGTTTGTGTGTGGCTGTTTCCAGTGCTTGTGGAATTGATGTTAAACTTCCCTGTGAAGTGAATTAGGTCTTTTCTTAGTGATTTGAACACTTAAGGAGAAACACTGGAGAAACCCTGCAGGCCAAGTCCAACTAGTTCTCTCCTGCTTTTTCACTTCACATCCATCTGATAGCCAAGGACTTCTGGGGGCTGATCTTGGGTCATGGGGTTTTTGCAGCTGTGAGCAAGTCATAACTTCTCTGGTTTTGCTTGACAGTATCAAATACTTCAATTTGTTAAATATTTGTGCAGAGAGAGGAAATGAGAGAAATGGTGTTGCCTGTAGAAAGAAAAGCTTTTACCTATACACTCTGTTGTGTCCAGTTCAGAAATGCTCTGACAGCTGCCTTTGGAGGGACCAGCACCCCTTTTGAAGCAGCTATCATATATATTCATGGCTGCAGTACAGAGTCCTTAGTTGTGACCATATGTAAAGGTGAAAGATGTAGACTTTGGGAATTCTCATCAGTGTCACTGGACTGTGGTGAGAAATATGTTAGTAGATTAGAAATAATTAGAGCTAGTTCTTGTTTTCTGTGGCAGGGTTGGAACTAGATGGTCTTTAAGGTCACTTCCAACCTAAACCATTCTGTGATTCACTGATTTGGTGATAGCTTCTCCTATTCAACTTCTCTGGCTGTGTGCATTCCCTTGGTATTATCATTAGCTGAATTAACCTTGGGGGCTGATATCCTTGGAAGTGATGTGCAGCAGCTACCTTTGCCATGGAGGACCTACATCTCCACCAGGAGAAGGTTGGAATCCTTGTTGACTGCAGGGGGAGGTTGTGGAGCTGCTCTGCAGGGTGTGCTGCTCAGATGGTTCCTCCTGTTAGTTGGTGTTGCTTAATACAGGAAGAAAAAGGTTCTCTGAAGGACCACTACTATTTTGATTAGCCTGGGCAATGAATTAAAGGTGTGCCACAGTATTTATATAAATACATAGACCCTTACGTGTGCGTGTTTACACACATGCTCCACAAAGCAGCATTTTTCTGGTGAGAAGGTAGGCTCCCAGCAGAGCTCTCAGCAGTGCGATGAACCCCAGGGCTAAAGAGCTTATCTGAAATGTGAAAAAACAAAGCTTTCTGACATTCATTTTCTTTGCCTTAGTTATAACTTGCTCTTAACTATATTTCAGATCTGAAATGTCAGCGTGACAGCTGTTCACCTTTGTATATAATTTATTGGGAAAGGAAAAGAAGGAATTTGCTCACTATCTGGTGCTCTAGTGCTCACCCAGATCTGGGTTTTGCCCAGCTCTCACACACTGCAACTCCCATGCCAAATGCAATAAATATTTCTGTCCTGTAACTACAGAGAGGCTCTATAGACCCTTCAAAGATTACTTACAATTTGTGTGTGGTTTATCTAACTTCCAAGGAATGTTCTGGGTTTGGAGCACATAAATCAGCAGTAGTTAACCATACCATCCAAGGGTGTAAATGCTACTCTGATGCTACAATCTTTGGTTTATCCAAGAAAAGAAGCCTTAGCTCAGCTTCAGCTGGTCATTAAACCTTGCCATAGCTCCCTGCTGCCTAAGGGGCAATTTACTTTTCCCTACCCACGCTTTTCCCAGCAGAAATGGAAATAAATAAATCTGGATGAGGACTGAGGAAGGTGTCGTGAAATAAAAAGGCCACTTCTTTGTTAGTGCCCTCCGAGACCTCCCTAGGAGTGATACTTTGATGGAAGGAGCTTTACACTTGCAGGGAAGTGATTTTTCTGTCTTGTGGCCCGTGAGTTGTTGTAAAGGCCACTGAAAAAGCAGATTCTGGATGCACATATTGTTACAGGTAACTAACAGGTATAGAAATCTTTGGTGATACAGTCCTTTTAAAAGACTGAAATAGAACCTGAAATAGAACCCAAATTCCCCATCTTCTCCTGTTGCCATCACCAAGTAGGTGAAATCAGACTTTTCCAAGGTGATTTCTATTGCGTGGTAGTCCTCTTAACATGTCCTCTGACCTCTTGGGATCAGTTGGTTTCAGAGCTCTGTATTTTTGAGTGTATAAAAATGAAGTATTAACAAAGCACAAGGTGAACATTCACATTAGCAGATAGGTATTATTTTCTTTCTTGGATTCTGCCTGTGAGGTGGAGGCTTGTCTTTTAAGCTGTCTTAAAAATGGATACATTAATGTTCTTGAAGTACTCAGATATTATAAGAGAGGAATAATAATGGAAAGGATCTCATGCAGCCTATTCTTAAAATAGGATCATTTCAATGAAAGAATGGGTGTCAGAATGTTTAACCTGTAACTGAGGTGACAGAAATGGCAGAACCTCCCAAGGAGGCCTCTTGCACTGCTTCCAGCATCTTCACCATCAACAGTTTTCAGGTGTCTGTTCTCAGGCTTGCAGCAGTTCCTCATACATTGCTTGTTTCTTTTATGGTTTTGGATGAGGCTTTTACATACTTGTCTGTTCCTGTTTCTCTTCAGTATTCTCAAGGCTGAGATCTCAGATTCTTAAACCATTTCTCATAACCTCTGGATCACCAGTCGTTGCTTCTCTTCCCTTGGTCATTCTTCGCTGCTTAGAAGTGTGATGGCCAGAACAGGGCACAGGAGCTGAAGTGCTCATCAATTCCAGCTCAGTTTGGTGGCTTTTGTGTTTGCCTCACTGTATGTGCCTCTTTATAATCCTCAGGAGGGTGATTTTTTGGTTTTGCAACATGCATTTAATTATTCCTACCCCAATTTAGAAACTTGCGCCTCAAGTTACATTGGTTTTAAGTGAATTTAATCCTGCACATCAGTTTATTTGTAGCTTTTGGTTTTGTAATGTGCAGATTTAATAGGTGTATTCTGTTCCATCTTCCAGGCACTGCACCAGCTATTAAGAAGGAAAAAAAATGACTGCTGTAGCTGAACCCAGGACAGCTATTAATAAAAGCACTGCATACCAGTAAATTCAGGCTGGATCCTTTCTCATTGTGCTTTAAAGTTGGAAGGGTTTTTTTTCCATTCACTTTGTGGTTTTCCTACATGCTTATGAAGATTTATAAGACCTATTTCTATCTTTATGAAGGTCTAAGTCTCCCTCTATTGCTTTATTTGTTTTCTCATAGAATGGTTAGGGTTGGAAAAGACCTGAAGATCATCTAGTTCCAACTCCCAGATCATCTAGTTCTCAACCCCTCTGTGTGTGACGTCCTACCCTTTCCTAGAGGGAAGTTGTCTCAGGCTGATCTAATAAATTCCTTTTGGCTATTTCTTGTATCCTTTTTTCCTACCTACTTTAAAAGATATTGAGCCAGAATTTTTCAGGAATTAAGTTAGTGATGAGGCTATATCACACAGTCAGTAAGTAGTTGAGATTTGAAAGGGATCTCTCAAGATTTAGTCCAAGCCTGTGGCTCCCTTCCTTTTCCCTTTATAACATTATGGATGACATTCACTTCCTTCCTCCCAGTGTCTCACCCACCCTGTCCAAATCTCAGTGACTCTGAGATGATTTTGCCCACTCTGAGTGCTCTTGGCTGAAGTTCATGTCCAGGTAATCTGCAAATGTCTAATACTCTCGAGGGCTGCCTCTTGTTCTTTTCCTACTCCTATTTCCTATTCCTGCCCATTTGTCAATGATCTTCATAGCAGCTGCCACATAAGACATGAAGTTTTCATTTGTGTAAAAAAAGTATTTAGCAATTTGAACTTAGTATTTTCTTTTGTTAGCTTTTCTTAATTGAGAAGTGGACCAGTGCTTCCTCCTGATGTGGTGATAAAATGAAGTGCTCTACTCACACTGAAGCGCATGGTTCCCTGTGGTCAGGGAGGCTGAATCTGGTCGCTTAATTCTTCCTCCACATATCTCAAGACCTCTGTGTGCACTTGCTTTGGGGAGGACTGCTAGGTCCACTGTGTATATCTGTAATCTGTTCACATACAGAATTGCTGAATGTAGTCTTGGCCTTGTGTCAGGAAGGACGCAGTAAAACTGGAAACACTTCGGAGGAAGTCATCATGATGGTTGGACCAGAAAAGCTTCTGTACACAAAGTGAATTGGCTTGAAGATCTTCAGCCTTGGAAAGAGACCAGTGGGAGGGATATGAGAGAGAGGACTTCAAAACTCTGCATGGCCAAGAAAGAACAATGTTTGCTCTTTCGGCACAGGAAGTTGGAAGTGTGAAGGTCTCAGATGGCAGGCTTGGGAGGAAGGGAAGGGGCTTGACACCAAGTGTGCTGCAAGGAATTTCTGCCATAGTCAGGTACTGAGAAGACTTTTTAGTCAGGTCCTGAGAAGACTTTTGCTCTTACTTCATCTGGCTGCAGTTGTGGTGTTAGTTAGCAGGCACCATCACCACTTGGCAACCATGGTTTTAGTCCAGCTGGAAAACCAGGCCTTGAGACATCCCAGCAACCCTGTTATGTTGATACTTGTTTATGCTGTGTGGGTAAGTGTTCCATAAGGCATTTAGAAATTATACCATGTTGACTTTCTATGCAGACAGAAGTGATCCAGCTTTATTCCAAAAAGGAGAAAATGCTGGTGAGATTTATGGCTATTAACATCCAGGTGGGAAATGCGTGTAAACATCAGCTGCTGTGTTCAGCAGTCCATCCAACAGCTCTGCATAATCTTCATCTTAAAGTAGCTGCATTCCTGTAGCTCCTCTATTAAGAGGCAGAGGCATTTACTCTTCTACTTCAGTGATGACTTCTTTTAAAGATGGGTTTGTTTTGTAGACGCTCTTATCAGAACCCCCTTTTCTACGAGTCCTGATTTTGTGTGTGTAGCCGAAGGCGTTCCATTAGGAGCTTCTTTAAAGCTGATTTATTTTCATTTTTATCAAATTCCATCAGAAATTGATAAATGTCCTGCCATTGTCATAAATCTAGTTATTATCTCCTTATACATGCGTGCATTAAACTTCTCACAACCGAACAAAGTATACTGAGAAAGCTATAGGAAGACCTTACTGACTTGGTTGTCTTCTCTTTGCAGTGACAATCGATTTGATAGATCAAGAAATTGGATATTGAGAGTCCGCTTAACATAAACCCTTCTGGTTTAAGTGGAGCCTTTGCCCTGTCTCAGCTTTGCACAAACAAGTTACTTGAGTCTTTCTACTTGTCGGTAGCACGTAAATCCAACAGGAAGATTAACTGGAGGCAGTGATGTAGGCTGGAGTAGTTCTGAGTTTACAGGATGAGAGAAGGGGGAAATTCCATCCAGCTATATTTTGGGGGAAGTTTTGCCTGTGTGGCAGGTGAAGTCTGGGAACCCTGATCTGACTCAAACCTGCTTGAAGATGAATGTGCAAAGATAAGCATCTCTCCCTGATGTGTGCAGGATCGGTACTTCACATCCCTGCAGTTTCCCCAGTAGGATCATCTCAATGATACAATCACACCAGAATGCTTTGATTTTAATTAAAAGGGGAATTACACTCCCAAGGAGAAAATCCCTGTTACACTCAAACATTCGTCTGATCTCTCAAAAAAAAGTGACTAGTGAGAGTTAAACAAATAAACTTGATCTTGTCTTTGGGTAAGTGACATTCTGGTTCAAAATAGCTTTTGACTTCTCTTGGTAACACTAGTAACTCTCCCATTCTTACCAGTTTTTATGATTTTTCCCCAATGTCACGTGCAGAATGTTTCCCATGTTGGTATATTTTAGTTCCTGTTAACATATTTATTCAGCCTCTAACAATATGTCATTAAATTGCATCATTAAATATCATGTTACAGGAATGACCTTTGTTTTGGAGGCCTAAAGGTAAGCTGAAAGAGTTAGTGATGTCTGCACTGCTAATCATGTGTGTTCAGTGGTTTCTCATAATAGTATTGACATTTGGGCTGCATTGGTGAAAACAGCAAAGGGGAGATAAACTTAATCAAAATTCCTGTGTGGTGCCCAGGATCCCACTGTGATCTGAGACATCACATTTGTAGTTTGTCATCACCTGCCTATTTTAATGAAGTCCTGCTTGTGTTTAGAACTTTAATTTTAGGCAGGTGAACATAGCTCTACAGGGAAATCTCTATTATAGTGGCTAGTGGCAATTTTGTTGGAAGAGGAACCAATTGCCTTAGTTGCAGGAATGTTCTTCCACCTGACCAAGACCCAGCTCTCAATGTTGCTTATTCAGCAGCAAACAAGTCGTGGAGCAGATGGTCAGTAATGTCCTTGATGTTTAGTGTTACTCACTAAAGCCTGAGTGTGGAATATCCAACATTGGCTCAGCTTGTCTGAGTATGATTTGGTAGCTGTTGAGTTGTCTCTGGGTACCTGCTGTGCCCCCAAGCTGGTATCTGTGCTCTGGAGGGGTAAGTAGCTAATGGTGTTAGAGTACAGCTGAGGACTTGGGCAGGCAGCTGAAGCAGCAGCCAACCTTTGACCAGCCTTTTGTTTTTTCCTTCCTGCAACAGCTTCTGTCCTTTATTTATTAGGGAAGAGCTGATGCTTTCCCATGATAAGCAAATTTGAATAGGAAGAGGGTAAAAATCCTAAGGAGGCTTTCTAAGCAAATTTAGCCAAAGGCTGTCTTGATTCTTGAGTCCTCCAGTTTGAACCGTGCTGGTTTGCCTTTTGCTTTCTATATGCTCCCAATGCGGGACATGAGACAGCCATAGCCCTTTGCTAAAGCTGTGTTAGCTCAGAGGAAGGGAATATTGGGGCTTTTCAAGAAGTTCAAGTTTTTGGGGCTGTAGAAGAGAAGCTTCTAGTGGCTATAACTAGGTTGTACCTCCTTCTAGAAGAGAGATTGTGCATTGCAGGAGAACTAGGGGAAAAAAATATGACCAGGCTGTTGCTTGTGTTTCTTCTTTGAAAGCATGCTAGAGAAAAATAATCCTCCCCAGCACAATTTCCCTGCCTCTCTCTGGATGCTCCCAGGCCTCTTTGCATACATGTGCCCTGACTTGCCAGTAGCCTTTTGATAGCCTTTCTTGTTGAGCACAGCGGAGCTGTCTGAGCATCAGTTTGCTTGGGATTTCCCTTCAAAGCATCACTCATCATCGAAATCCTGCTTTGTGCTGTTTGGCTACAGAGGTGATCATGTTCCTCCACGAAACACATTAACAATACCTTTCGTGACATTGATTTGACAGGAAGAGCTTTTAATTTATCTACGCCTCAGTCGTTCCTGTGTGAAATTCATCTTTACTGACAGTATATGGTGTTTATGTACTTGACTCGTAGATGCCTGAACGTTGACTAAGGAATTCTTCTTAGCTGGAGCTCTTCAATTATTTTTGGTAGTAATTTTTTTTTTTTATCTGCAGAGAAGCCCAGAAAAATCAAATCCTTCAGTTTTATTCCTGTGCTTATTCAATGCAGCAGTATTCCCCTGTGGGACTGTGGTAGGGATCAGACCCTCCTCTTAGCAATGTTCTCCTGAATCTTCATGCCAGTGTATGGACAACCTGAGAGAGAGACTGAGGATGTGGGTAATAGAAATTGTTTTGTGTTGAGCAATTATTCAGATTGAAGTTACTTCTTTATCACTATAATATTCAGGAATAAATGAAATCACAGTTGAGTATTGGTAAGTTAATAAAGGATTAAAGTACTAGTTCTTTAAAGGCAGAAGGTTGCTGTGAGGTCTGTGCAGTTGTGAGGACTCCTGTGTGGAGTGAACCATGTAGATGGTAGCTGAGACAAACCAGAAACCAGAAGGGAAGTCATTCTATGTGGGTGACAGAGAACTCCCTGTGCCCAAGCTACTTGAACCTGTGATGATGGTAGAAACTGAACTCAGTTCCTCTAAGGCTGAGAGCTCAGCCTTAGAGGTATGGTGATGTGTATCACCTTGTATGGTGGTACAAAAGAAGTGTCTGCAGCCCCTCAGCAATCCCTAGGGCTGGGTTTTGTTGAACTGAAAAGTTATTCACATGTTTACCAAGTGGTCTTTATTGCTTTGGATTCCTAACCAGAAGTTAGAATTCAGGCTTTCAGTCCTTAGCTGTTAACTTCACGTGCCTAATGCTTGTGAGAGCATTTGTGCTCTTCTGCAGGTTATTTTTCCTGGCCTTTGCCACATCATTGGAATGATTCTGACCCAGCCTGGCAATTCTGTGTTTGAATTTCACTGATAAAGACTCTGAGTAGAGCTAAGACTAATGCACGTTGCAGCCTGACCCCTGTAATAGCAGCAGTTCCCTCTTCCCTATAGTGCGCTTTCCATCATACGCCTGCTTTCTAAACATGTTCTCTCTTGTTCTAGGCTGCAAGCATGTGAAAGGCATCCTCTTGTATGGACCTCCAGGCTGTGGTAAAACACTTATGGCGAGACAGATTGGCAAGATGCTGAATGCCAGAGAACCAAAGGTGGTCAATGGTCCAGAAATCCTCAATAAATATGTGGGCGAGTCCGAGGCCAACATCCGCAAGCTGTTTGCTGATGCAGAAGAAGAACAAAGAAGGGTAATGCAAACATAGATAAATAGTATGGTCAGGATGAATGTGCCTAAAGAATGGCCGGAAAAGAGGTTTATAATCAGAAAATTACTGCTTGCATTAAAAGCCTGAGTCACTCCTTAGCTTGTGATTATAGTTATTCCCTGCGAGTCAGGGAATATTAGTGTTCTACAGATGGACACGCTGGCGGTTGGAAAGACAATCTTAGAACCTGACAAGGTAGCTGGTTTTCTAGCCAGCTATGCTGAGGATGAACAGTTAGTTTCAATTCCATGCAGGGTTGTTTTCAAGTAATACCGTAGGGCCCCTCGTGCTGTGCTTTGTATTACGGGGTGTCACCTGCTCAAAAAGTGCAGATTATTGGGATTGCACAAATTTTGCTCTCTTTTCTTTTTTGTTCGTGGGGGAGACATAATCTGTTTGGAGTTTTGCTACTAAATTCAGGTGGCACATATTGTAGGATGAATTTCAAATAAGCTTTCATGGTTTCAAGTTTTTGGGTGACAGCCTTACAGGTATATTACAAGCCTTAAAGTGCTGTATCCAATACATTGTTATTTTTCCTCAGCAGAACACTGGTGGATGAGAATAGTGCCTCAAAACCAGGGAGGACAGATCTTTGAAATTGGAAGTGGAGATAAAGATTGTGTTTCTCCCAAGCTTGGTTTTTTTTTATCCATTCTTTTAACTGGCTATCAAAAGCCCAATCTTTAGTTTTCATGTGTGCTATAGGAATTTTTCTGCTGTGGATCACTTCATCTTGATAGATTTTTCTGGTAAAGAAAACACAACGTCAGGCAAGTCACAGTTGCATGCAGGGAAGTCTTTTCAGAAGACATTAGCAGAGGCCATTGTATCCCTTAATTTTATTTGCACCTAACAAGGCTGCAGGTTTTGCTAGTGGCTTGAAATCACTTCATTTTCTTCTGCAGAAGATTGATTAATCAGTAAATCAGCTTTGCATGGTAACCTATCCCAATGGAAACAATCTCCTTCTCTCTGCTTATTGCAATCTAACTGAAAGCTGTGAGCTGCTTTTCCTTTGCAATAACACACCTGTTAAAATAGGCTTTATATTGGCTGGAGGGAATGGTCCTGATGACAAGTTGCAAGATTAAAAAGGTCTCGAAAAGGTTGGTATTGTGATGACTTGTGTCTGGGGCAGATTGCCAGGGACAGCACATTTACCCAGTGTTAATGTGGTCTCCACTGGCCACAAAAGATGTTTGAGAGGTGGAATTTGAAGGGAAGAAGCTTTATAAGACAGTCACAAAAAGTATCCTGTTCTCTTACCAGCTGCAACTGCTTCACCTTTGAGTGAACCTGGAAATAAGCAGTTCTGTTCCTGATTGGCACCAAACAAATGGGCTCCTTAAAAATGTTAAGAACAAAGCTACTCTGGCAAGCCCTATATTTACTAACTTTAGTGCAGCCTGGAGTATTTCCCATACTGGGTGCATCCCTCCACAGATGTGCTTCATTCTCCATCTCCCTTTTGGATGGCTTTCCCAGATACTGAGTCCTGTGACCTTGTGTCTGCGCTGTGTGTTCCAGCTTTGGGCTTGTGCTTTTCCCATTCAATCTAGTCCTCCTCCTTGGATGTCAGCTGTGAAGCCCTGTGTTTAGGCAAAGCCCACCAACCACCTCATTTTGGAGGATGGCAAGTTGTTATTCTGGAAAGGGGTCTGATACACTCATAACATGTGATACTAAAAGCCCTTAGAGGTATTGATGTTCTGTATCTGTGGGGCTGAGCTTGTTGAGAAGTTACTGTTTTGTTTGGATGGCTTTCAGTGATGACATGTGGCATTCCTGACATGTTTTTCTCTCCCATAGCTTGGAGCAAACAGTGGTGTGCATATCATCATTTTTGATGAGATTGATGCAATCTGCAAGCAGAGAGGAAGCATGGCGGGGAGCACTGGAGTTCACGATACTGTTGTAAACCAGTTGCTGTCTAAAATTGATGGCGTAGAGCAGCTCAATAACATCCTAGTGATTGGTATGATGGTGCTTACTTTTCTCTGTTATGGTGTCTGGTTGGAGGCTGCTGATACTTTCCTCATTGCAGGTCAACGAAGTTATCATTAGTGGTGTTAGATCTGTTTGGACTAATCCAAACTGAATGTCTGCTATTTGCCAAGCACCAGGAGCAGATTTAAAGGGAGATGGTGCTGTAATTGGCTGATATTGCTGCTTTCAACAACTTCTTCCTTTAGCTTTTGATAACAAGTGATTCATAGTTTAAGAAAACTTGCAAGGAATGATATGTATTGGCATATAAAGGACTGGGGCTTCTCTAGCTGTGTTGTCTAGTTGACCTGGTGCCAGGAGCCCTGCAGATACAGTCACAAGTAGAGGCTTGATTCCTATTGACTCTACTTCAGGGCATGACTTTTTCTATGTTTCTGAAGATGGGGATGTTTTGCTTGTTTACTTGAGACTCTTTGGGGTATCTTCTTAGCTCTGTGGGCTGTATTCAGGAGTTGGAGACCCACTTAGCAAGCTCAGATAATGCTTATTTTGGTTTTTAACTTTGAATTTAGGAATGACCAACAGACCTGACCTGATTGATGAGGCTCTGCTGAGACCAGGAAGGCTGGAGGTGAAAATGGAGATTGGTAAGAAGCTGGCATAGTGCAGTACATAAGCTCATGTGTGCTTAATAATAAAGCAAATATATATATCATAATGTGAACAGTTAACCAGGATGGCAGAGATGCTAAACTTCATGCAGCTCCCTCCATAACATTACAGGTGTAGTACCTGCATCTTTAGTTGGCATAACTAAGCAAGGCATCAGAATAAATGATCAGATGATAAGGACTGACCACTGCTGAGGCCTATGGGCATTTAAAAATGTCTTTTCACATCCTCTCAGCACAAATCAGTGCAAATTATCAGACCATTGGACCCAACAAGATGCATCCCAGGATGAAGTAGTCACTGAGCTGCTCTTCATTGCGTTTGAAAAGTCGTGGCAGGAAGGCAGAGCCCACAGACTGGAGAAAAGGGGGTGTTGATATACTTGATATGAAAGAGGAGGAAGGCGCCTCCTGGGAACTCCTGACCCGTTAGCCTCCCTCCAGTGCCCAGGAGGATCATGAAGCAGATCCTCCTGGAAGATATGCTGAAACACGTGGAGGACGGGGAGGTGATCAGAGACTGCAGTCATGGCTTCACAAAGGGCAAATTGTGCCTCACTAATCTAGTGGCCTTCTCTAGTGGAGTAACTGCGTTGGTGGATAAATGATGAGCTACAGATGTAATTTACCTTGACATCTGTAGGGCCTTTGGTAGGGTCCCTCACAGCATTATTGCCACTGGATGGGAGAAATTGAAGTTTGATGGATGAAGCATTAGATGAGGAACTGGCTGGATGCTATGTCCAAAGAGTTACTGTCAACGGCTCAATGACAGGGCAATTCCCAACATCAGGACAGCCTGGGGGATAGAGGGGTGGATTGATGGCAGCCCTGTGGAGAAGAATTTCAGGATACTGGGGGTTGAAAAGTTGGACATGAAGCAGCGCTGTGCACTTATAGTCCAGAAAGCCAACTGCACCCAGGGTTGCCTCCAGAGCAGCGTGGCCAGCAGGTCGAGGGAGGCGATTGTGCCATCGGTGTGATTGAATGTTCTCAAACCAAAAGCATTGTCAAATATTCTACTTGTAAGACTGAATTGCTCATGGTGAGAATGAGCCTTTGGGAGCTGGACTGTTGAGGAGAGGGAAGGGCTTTGCTGCAGTTGCTGTGCTGAGGTGCTGATTGACATGTGTTGTGGTTAAAATCTCAGGCTTGCCGGACGAGAAGGGTCGATTCCAGATTCTTCATATCCACACGGTTCGGATGCGGGAGCACCAGCTGCTGGCTGAGGATGTGGACATTGCAGAACTGGCAGTGGAGACTAAAAACTTCAGTGGTGCTGAATTAGAAGGTTTAGTTCGAGCTGCTCAGTCTACTGCTATGAACAGACACATTAAGGTCAGTCCTATTGTCTCTTACTGGGGCAGAAAAGGGGAAAATAGTTGTGGTTGGAATCTTTACTTCCAAATGGTATCTCAGCCTACTTTAGGAGAGGAAATTCATATGGACACTAGCAATTCATTGTGCTTTTACATGGTTCTGAATGACCTCTTTCATCTAAGCCCCTTTTATTGAGCCACTTGACCTCCAAGCAGCTCTTGCATAGCTCAGTGGGGTTGGAAGGGGATTGTCAATTTATTTTGGTCAAAAAAAGTAAAGTCTTGAGCTCAGGGATATGGATTGGACCCAGGAGTCAAGAAGTAGAAGTGAGAACAGCCAGTCATATAGGAGACATCTCTGCTTGAGCCTGTCTTCCATTTCAAATGAGTACTCACTTGATGATCATCCATAAGAGACTTACAATGTTCACAGCTCCTTCCATTCCAGAGGAGCATTGCCTTGCTTCCCCATGCTTGCTGATTATCCGAGGTCAGTGTATCTTTAACTAGAAAGGAGTTAAGGACCATGAAATGTCAGGTTATATTAATCCAGATGCAAACCACAGTATTTGATGGTGTTGAAATATGAGATGATTAGTTTGTGAAGAAGGCAGCTGAAGGGCACAGCCCCTTTGCTATAGTGGCCAAGAACTGGGGTGAGTTACTGCAGAGAAAAGCCTTTGACAGCAATTCCACAGCACTGGTCTAGGATTTTTAACTAAAAAGTCTGTCCAAACTTGAATGTGAGGAAAGCACATCATGCTTTCATTTAAATGAGAGAAATCAGTTGGTTACTTAGAGATTTGGGTCTCTTGGGAGCACTCTCTAAAGGAAAAGTGGCTTTTTCTGCTCATTTTTCTTGTATAGCTGTAACACTTGAAAAGTTATTGTTTCCTGTAGCAACCCCCCCCAAACATCAACAGTTTCTCATTTTCTTGTGTTCTGCCTCAAAACAAAAATCGGCACCTCTGGAAGTATTTTCATCCCTTCTCATTCAACACCTTTTCCTGAAAGAATGAATTTTGCTTATAGCTGCTGTTCTTTCAGGTGCTTGAATTTTGTGTGGCTTTGGGGACCATTAGTGTTTTGATATATTCCTTGTTGTGCCAGAATGTGACAGTGGAAGCAGAGGAAATGGCAGTGCATAAATGTAAAAGAGCAGTCCCCTCCTTTAGGTTGGCATGTGATTGACATCTTGATGTGGGTACATTCCAAGTGGGAAGTGGCCACACTTTGGTTTTCTTTCCAAACACTTTGACATAGTATTTTTGGATAATCTTATTGTTTGTTCTGAAGCTGTCTTCAGCCAGATGATGCCCTCAAGTATTTTATTCTCTCCTACAAGTACTGCACAATTTCAAATATCCATCATAGGCTTGACCTAGTTTTCAGAAGCACCTATGAGAAGCAAGAGCACAAATTGAAAATTGAGGGGTATTATTCTTCTGAATCATTTCAACTCTTCTGATAATCTCTCAAAGTATGTGTGTGTCTAAGTCATTTAAGGCTAGGAAAGAAAGACACCAAACACCCCCATTCCCAACCCCCCTCAGTTTTTAAGTGTACAAACAACTTCAGGAATATATTGATAGTGTTTCAAGTACCTTCACTTCCATCTGCAAAATAGACAAGTGATCAACTTGTACTGGAGATCCACTCAGTTGGGATATTTGGCATCCTGTATTGGTGCTTTGGGGAGAAGGGACTCTCATTTCAGCCATCCTCTGGTTACAGTTATTTCTTTGGCACAGTGTTACTGGCCAGTCTGGTTTGGGTTGGAAAGGACTTTAAGATCATCTAGTTGCAACCGTCTGCCATGGGCAGGGATGCCTCACACTAGACCATGTTGTCCAAGTTTCTGTCCAGCGTGGCCTTGAACACTGCCAGCGATGGAGCATTTAAAGGATGTCTCTGAGACACATTTGTAAGGGTTAAAGTTATTTTACTCATCCATCACCTTGGTCTTAGTGATAGAGGCTGCTTCCAAGAAACCCCTCAAAATCCCCAATTTCTACTTCCTGAGCTATCAGATCATGTAGGACCATTGCACCCTCAGGTAGAAGCAGGTGGTGTTGTAAGGCTCAGGTAACTTACGATGGAAATTATACTTGTTTTGGAATCTGGAGCAATTAGTTATGGTGGAACATTTGCTGTGGTACCAGTAACACATCCCCAACTGGCTTTAAAGGCTGCAGACATCAGAATAAAGTTTTCAGCTTTAAAGGCAGCCCTCAAGTTGTTCTCAAGAATTAAAAACTTCTTCTAGCTGCTGTGTGAGCAGCTTTGGGTCACCTCCTGGTGATACCTCTAGTTGGGGTTGAGAAATGATGGACAAGAGAAGGTCGTGGTAGTGCTGGCTCTGCTCTGTGTTTTTGCTTCCAGTCTTTAGCTTTTAAATGTTGCTGGATGGTTTGGGAATGGCAGAAGGGGAAAGAGGTGATGCTTTTCATTTAGAAAGGAGTGCAGTGTGAGCTGAGTTAACTGCAGCCTATTTATTCCAAGTGGTGCTGATAGCACTGCCTTGGGAAGATTCATTTCTTTGATTGAACTGAAGCAAATAAAGACAAAGCAGAAAGAAATCTAATATTTACCAGTCCTCTTAAAAACTTTCTTGTGTGGAGAGGAAAGTACATGGCTTGAATAGAGAGCGAAAACCTCCTGAAATAGATGCGTGTGAAGAATTCTTATTTTTGGCTTAGTTGCCAAAGATGGGGTGGGTAGATTGAGAGTTGGGTTAAACCAAACTGTGTCACACAGTGGAGGAGGCTTCATCTCCTTCCAATCCAGCACCCAGGAAGCATAATGAAGAATATTTTCTAGAGCAGCCGTTACTTCCCTACTCTGCAGGGTTATGTCCATACTCTTCGCTTCAGCTTCCCACCCAGTGAAGTGGAACAGCTGCTACTTAATGACTTGGTGAGGCTGGAATATGGATGTGGCTCTGTGAAGATGATGATGGCTCCACTGGTGTTCAGCATATGCCCAACAAATGTCTTCTTAAGAAGCATTTTTCTTACTGACATAGACCAACTACAGGGTTGGATCCATGGGTGGAAGTTGATTAGGGTTTGTGTGTGGTACTGCTGTACTTCAGTGTCTTTTATTGCCTCTATTAGGCCAGCAACAAAGTGGAGGTGGATATGGAGAAGGCAGAGAGCTTGCGTGTGACAAGAGGAGACTTCTTTGCATCCTTGGAGAATGACATCAAACCAGTAAGTAGGCAGTGAGTAACTCCTCTAATAGTCACCCAGTACAGTTAATGATGTGAGGTGACAACTTCCTTCTGGGATCAGACAGACAATGTTGCACCATGGGCTGACATACTGTGTCCTGTGTTGTCAGAATGAAAGTAGGAAGCCTCTGTGGTCTGTAGTAGAACGTTTAAGCCTCAGTTTTGAGAATTGCCTTTAAATGGTGTGGATTCAGAACCCACTGACAACTTGTACTGATTAGAATTTGTTTTGGGAATGCATGAAAATATGTTTCTACATGTGCATGGTGTCCACCAGTGTTCAGTCCTGTGAACTGGAATGTTGTGTGTCACCAGTGGGTCTTCCAGTCTGACTGTCTCACCTAAGCATCTTCTGGAGTCTTGGTTCTGGTCACTTTGGTGGTGTGTAATTGTTTCTTGTTTTTGTGATGTGATGCAAAATTGCTCAGTAAAATAAATGTTCCTTCTCTTAATACAGGCATTTGGAACCAACCAGGAAGACTATGCAAGCTACATCATGAATGGTATTATTAAGTGGGGTGATCCAGTAACAAGGGTATTGGATGATGGGGAGCTGCTTGTTCAACAGACTAAGAACAGTGACCGCACGCCTTTGGTCAGCGTTCTTCTGGAAGGTAAATTTAAGGACAGAAACCCAGAACAACCCCAAAACCCTCAAGTGAATTCTGTAAACTGTTCCTATCAGTTGCCCAAGTGGTTGTCTGTTATATCCTGCAACTGGACCTACCAAACTGGCAAGTAACAAACTATCTTTGTCAGTATTTGCCTGGCATTCGTGCTGTTGACATGCTCTTTGCCACAGTACCTCCAGAAATCATATTTAGAAGGGGCGTACATACATTTCAAGAAGTGTCTCCAAAATACAAACACATGGTTGTTTTGGTGCCAGTCCTACAAAATGTGTAACATCCTCTTTTGTGTCAGTTTCATGACAAATCAGTCTGCATGTTCTCAAACAGTTGCATCCATTTCCTTCATCTGGAGGACTGGACTGCACTAGGAGTTAGTGTGTTCCTTCTGCAAGCAGAAGAAAAGGCCATTTTGGAATGCAGGTACCACTGAATGAGAGTCCAAACACACTGAAGAGGTCCATGCTGAGCCTTAGCAGAGCTGTTTCCTCCCTTGTTTTTTCATGATGCTTGTCCTGTGTTTCAGGTCCCCCCCACAGTGGGAAGACTGCGTTAGCAGCAAAAATAGCAGAAGAATCCAGCTTTCCCTTTATCAAGATCTGTTCTCCTGATAAGATGATTGGATTTTCTGAAACTGCCAAGTGCCAAGCTATGAAGAAGGTACTCATGTGCCCTACTCTTTTGCTTGATTACAGTCCAATTCTATGTTCTCTGGCGGATAGAAAAGGGAATTATCCTAGTGATTGTGTGTTGTACCCTCTGCAGGTCCTAAATTCCTGTGCATGTTTATTTGTGAAGTCGAATGAGTGTTTTTGTGGTACTGACTCTTAAGTGGCTCAGAGGACTTCAGGGTTCTGTCCAAATTGGGTCTGATACATGACTATGACTGACAGTTATATACATAATCTGATCTGTGGTGAGCTGGAGCTCTTCCTGCAGAGATGAAGGCAGGAAAGGCTTAGGGTTGCACTGGGAAAGAACAGATTCTGACTGAATGAGACTAGGAGCAGTTTGGAGGTGACAGTGTTTAGTTAAACAAGAGCTTTAACAACCTGGGGAGCTGGGGGAATGCAAACAAGTTGCACAGCTTGAATCATTTCAAGTAGCCAGGTGGAAGGAAGGAGATTTCATTTGCTGAAGCAAGCCAGCACTTTTCTAGCTGAATGATACTGAATGAAGCATGTAAGTGAAACGTTGCTCTAAGGTCAGTTTGTTGCAGGATTGGATAGTTTCTAGAGAAGCAGCATGCTCATAGCTGGAAGTCCAGTTTGTAATTGAGATTCAAAAAGGAGCTTTTTGGATGTCACTTGAATCAGCGAATGCTGGAGGCAGGCCTGCAGCACCACTGTGTGTCCTTAGTGCTACTTAGTGTTTAAATCCAAAGCTTTGCAGGACACTGGTTTGCTGCTCTAAAGGGTCTTGTGGAGCTCAATCCATACCTGAGCAGGTCTGTTCTCCCTGCAGTAGGCTGTTAGGAAAAGTAACCAACATCCAGCCTAGGTTGAAATCTTCATAATTACATTGCAGTTGTGAGGGATTTGTGTAGTTTTATATTATCAGTATTGCTGCAGCTTCATAAAACAGAGGAAATGAAACACAGGGCAGCTGGCTTTTTTGTGTATGGGGTAAGCAAGCAACACTGAGCTCTGAATTGGTTGACATGGCAGTGTTCTATTAGATGAAAGCAGAGTCTAGTCTCTTGGTACGTGGCTTTTCCATTCTCTGTTTATTCCTCTACATCAGCTCCTATCATGACTATTGTAGTTTTGGTGCTCAGATGTAACAATGGGTCTTTTTGCTGGTTTTTAGATCTTTGATGATGCATACAAGTCCCAGCTCAGCTGCGTTGTTGTGGATGACATTGAGAGACTTCTAGGTGAGTTAGAACAACAGAAATACTGACATACTGCAAACTGGGAATGATCTGGAACCGTTTCCTCTGAGAGCATTGAACTGGCTCACACATTGACATGGCTTAAATGTGCCTCTGCTTAGTGAGCATTAAAATGCATGTTTCCTTTCAGATTATGTCCCAATTGGACCACGGTTCTCTAATCTGGTGTTGCAAGCCCTTCTTGTACTGCTAAAGAAGCCCCCCCCTCAGGTAAGAAAGTAATTGAGGGGTGAGATGCCCTATTCCTGTAACAATTTTGACAGTGGAGGGCTTTGTGTCTTGCTGATAGCTGCTGTGCTGCCAGTGGTATTAGTGCTATTGTCTCTTGATTCAGTCAAGTTAATCCTAGCCTGCTGCTGCTCATTCAGCGAGACATTTCTAGGATAACCTCAAAGGATTCAACTTCAATTACCTAATTACTTAGGGCTGAATCTTCTGCAGTTAGCCCCAGAAATTCTGACTAAGGAAACAAGTTTAACCTTCACCATGTAAAACTTAAACATGCAAGCTGTCTGCTTGCTGATTAACTAAGGAACTGCTTAGTCCAAATCAATCCCTGGCTCAACCATGTGCTCCCTCCTTATTTAGAAATCAATTTCTAAGTAATGTATGATTGTGGATGTCAGGGTTTTAATTTGTTCTTAACTTGAAATGATCAGGTGTTAATTACAGTGGGTAAGGAAAGCTTAAGATCTTCCATCTCGTGCTGATCCTGTCTGTTTGCACTTTCTGGCTTGACGAGATTTAAGAACATCACAAGTGATAATGTTTCTGAAGCTTGCACTGAATGAGGCAGGCAGGGACCCTTCTCTTTTCTTGTTTGCCATTTTTCCTGTCATTCACTGGAATTCCACTGTGTGTGTGAAAGTATCTGCATGAATAAATAACATACCAACAGGAAAACCTTGAAAGTCGGCGTCGGGAAAGGCAGAGAAGCACAGCCTGGATGGACTCAAGTTTTTAAGATCCTGGAAACAGTGATATATGCATGAGTATTGTTTTCATTAGAGAGGTGAAAAGACATTTGCAATACAGAACTTTGAACTAAACTGTAATGCCACAGGCCCTGAAGTTCCTCTTGTGACTGTCAACCTGGGAGAACAAAGATTTTTCCCCACTGAGCTTTCTAGGCCATGTAAAGTCACTAATGTAACACTTGGATGCTGTTATCACATACATTGGGACAGAAGCTGTAACAGGACAAGCAGTTTGGGTCATCATAATCTCATGTAATCATTGACCCATTGCTGGGTATTTCCACAGGAGCAGGAAATGTTTGTTCCCATAAATCAATAGGGGAAAATAGAACGTGGTTTGGTTCAGTTATCGAAGGAGCTCAAAATATTGTGCAGTTTATCACTGCATCCTCTGAATGTATTTTGCTGCTCAGATGCACTTTCGTTGGCATCTCAGCCTCCCACAAAGCAGGATGCAGGGCTTGAAGCTCTCAGATATTTGCCAAGTTTATGCATGTTACTGGAGATTTGTACTTTGCAATGTTTGAAATGCCCTTGAGGCTGGAAGACTTTGGGTTGACAGCCAATATTATGGTGACTTAAGCCATAAATTGTTGGAGGGTAAAGAGAGTGTTTTCTGAGGAAGTGTCACCATTTGATTGATGATGTGTGTGGGTTTTTTCTTGTTTTCCAAGCATCCACTTTTGGCTACTGTGGAAATCAGGACATTGGGTTAGACGGACCCTTTGGGCTGTGACCTACTTTGGCCATTCTGATGATACGGTTCTTCCTAGTGTGTTTTTCTTGTGAGTTCCCTGTGATAGTCATAGCATGTGGGGATTTTTATCATGTAAAAAAAGCAAAACAGTGTGTAAGAGGTAGTGTCATGCAGGAAGAGGCCTTTTCTGCTGTGTTTACTGTGAAAAGGATTGAATTTGGGCTTGGAGACTCTTGGGGTTTTTCAGCTCAAGTGAGAAATCCACAAGGGAGATGATAACACCAGTTAATCCACACCCTTCCAATTTCCCTCTGAGACGACTAGTTCCCTTGGGGAGCAATTTATTTGGAACTAATGGCTGGTTTCAGGGGGGTTGTTGTAATTTGAGATGCAGATACATGCTTTAAATGTTCATGAGTAGCATCAGTGGTACTAACCTGCTTCATGAGGTCAAACCGGAATGAATGTCAATGGGATTAGGATCATGGGTTTAGGTTCATTCCTTGTTAAAATGGAGTGTCTTGGGACATGCCAGGTATGTCCCTGTGCTGAGAGAAATCATCGACAAGATGCTGGGGTGACAATATCTGTTACTGCCATCAGATAGGCTCTTTATTGTGCCACGAAATACAGAGCTGATTTGAAAAGCTTCCAACCAGGAACATTGAAGCAGTTGGAACTGCAGGCAAGGCATGAGTGGGAAGCTCATTTCAGCAGCACAGCTCTGCTGCTCCCATCTCTGTGGCCCAGATTATGTATTCACACGGTGTTGTCACATCACTTGCAGGGAGTATACTTAATGTGCAAGCAGCTTCCTACAATTACTGTAGGCTATGTGTGCAAGAGGAGCATTTCTGGGATGAAAACTTATTAATTATGCATTGAGGTGTATGTCTCTGTTGACATGGTTTATGAAAGCTGCCTCCCAGACTCCCCTCTTCCTATTGAGGCTGTGTTATTTTAACATGGTGTGGGAAGGACAAATCCTTCAAGCTTCTCGTTTTCTGGGCTTCCTGCCTCCTTTTGTACTTTGCAGAAGTTTTGAGAGTAAACACGTTAGACTTGAAAGAAACTAGAAACTGAGTTTGCTTTAAATTGCTGCTGGTTCCACTCAGCAATGCTTAAATAGTGGTATCTATTTCTACCAGTTCAAGACGACTGAAAAACATGGCATTTTATTTAGCTTTTTTTTTTTTTTAAACCAATTAAAAATCTTTTCTAAAATGGACTGAAGAGAAGAAAATGAACCATGTTCTCTTGGGTCTTTATTTCAATCAAGTTTCCCTGTGTTGTGCAGGAGAAGAGACTGGGGAGGGGTGGGGGGGGGGTTGGATAGAAAGACTGAAAAGGGCTGTCGCAGCAGGGAGCCAAGCGGGAGAAAAGGACTTCTCTGAGAACTAAGCAGCAGCAGCTCCGAAAGCCGGAGCTGCTTCATCTACATGCAGAGTCACACAAGGCATGGAGAGACTCACCAGCCCCACAGAGGTTTCACATGTGCTTCCCTGCTGGTTCCTGTGAAAAGCTAACAATTGGCTCAAAGGGTGAGAGACCATTGCAGCATCCCCGCGCTAAGCTGGACGTACAATCTGTGCAGTGTTAGGAAATGGCTGGCTTAGTGAGATGCTCTCCACCACTCTTGTGGATGCCCTTCCACTGCTCCCAGAGGCCCCCAACCCCTTTCCTCTCCAGGACACTGGACAGGGAGAAAAGGGGGAATAATCTCCTTGTTCGATATAATCCCAGATGCATTCCTGATTCCATGGCACTTGGTGTGAATTGGAACTCCAGCCAACAGTGAGGTTACCTTTGTCCTTGTAAACCTGGGGAATTGTGTTTTCTCCCATTATAGGCGAGGAACTGTTGATTCCCCAAAACCAGGTATATAAAAAGGGTCCAAAGTTGAGTGAAGAGCTCGTGGCTGACCACCAGAGGCACTTCAGTATCCACCAGTACTTGGTTATAACATAGCTCGAGTTCCCTTCAACTCCCCTTGCCTAGGGCTGGCTGGATTTGCTGACCTTTGAGACTCCCCTGACATGATGAGACTCCATTTGCTTGTAGCAGAGTCCATGTGATTCTTCTATGTTCTAGTTTGTCTTGTGTAGTCAATGGTGCCCGTTAGGAAGTGAATAATGGGGTAGACAAATCAATCTCATAATGCTTGAAAATGTGGCTGTTAAAAACTACTTCTCATTTGATCTTTGGGTCCCGATGCTCTCTGCATGATGATATCCTTTATTCAGGTGAAATCCCTGCAGTAGACAGATGAAGTCTGGGGTTATCCCACTTCTAGAAGGCACTGGGGCAACACACACACCTCTCTATTGGGTATCCTCCCATCAGCACAGAGGGATCTTGGGCTCCAACTGAGGCACTTTTATTGCCTAAAAATGGGCAGGATGAGTCCAGATTCAGTGTTGTGCCTGTATCTCATCCTTGTTGATGGAAGAACTGGGTCTAGAATGCCCTTGGTAATGAATCTGCCACCAAATGATCTTAAGCTGTTGAAAAGCCAAGTTCTTCCTTGCTTGGTGCTTACTCTCTTGTTATGCCCAGTTTTTGGAAGTTCAGCTTGAACCCTGCTCTCCCATGGGCTGAACATGTGGCAAGTTGCCTTTGCAAGGGCTGCTGTGGAAATTAAGGATCAAAACCATGAGTATTTCTGAAAATGAGGGACATGGGCAGTACATTTCCCAGTAGGAAGAATAAATCCAGTGGTGTCCTGTGGTGGGTGTCACTGCAGAGGAGTTGGATGAGGGCAGCTCTTCCAGTTGGGCTTGATGGCTTTTCATGCTTTTGTGGTAATCCCTGGGGCAAAACATTTCTGGCTCTGGAGGTTTTCCACTTGTTTGCTGAGCAAGTTGCCTGAAACTTGGAGAAGTACAAGGGACTCCTGACAGTTCGTTTTCTTTTAGTACTTGATACAGCAGAGATGATGCTTGTTTTAAGGGAACTGGTTTTGCAGTGGGTTGAGTTTAAAGGTAGCAAGCTTAAGCACATAGCTTCTTTTGAAGAATTAGAGAATAGTCAGGGTTGGAAAGGACCTTAAGATCATCTAGTTGCAACCCCCTGCCCTGCAGGGAAAGAATCAGACCGTTTTAGAGGGAGCTGTGAAAAGATTTGAAGCAGTGTTTTGCAGCGTAGCCATCTGTTCTTAGGAGGTTTCAACCCTTCAGGGTCCTGACCATGGATCCTAACAGAGAGATCTAAGAGCTGCTGATGGATCTGACCTCTATTAACTTGGCCTATTGCTCTTGAGCCTTGTTAAGTTTTTGCCAGTCTTAGTGTGGTGCTTGCTTGAGTTCAGCTGAGCTGCCTGCTGAAAGCAAACACCCTTTTGTTCATTTAAAACTGATACTGATACTATCATGTAGTGCTCTCCAGCTTTTCTTTTGAGAAACAGCTTTTCCCCTTATCTCCTCTAGGCCATTGTGATTTTATAGACACCTCTGTTTCCCTCCCAGCAATTGACCAGGAATCTATTTTGGGAAGTAATTTCATATTTCTGAGCATCCCAAGTGCTTTCCTCTGATTTCTCCAACTCTGCTGGATTGGAAATGGTATTTGAAATGACTGGGGCTTCATCCTTTAGAATAATGACTTTCGTTTTACTCTTTTCCCCCTCTAAAAATGTGTGAGTGTTGGCATTTTGGGTGAGGTTTAGCATTGAGCTGGTGTTTTCACAGAACTAGCCACAATGACCAATTCCAGTGGCTTTCCTAAATGGCAATAAGTCATCGAGAGTCATTTTTGTGTGTGTAGTAATTGTCCGCTGGCCTGATCTACAGCGAGTTTGGGATTCATCTGACTAAATGTGGCTGTCAGCGGTTTGGTTTTCTACAACTGAACTAGTTGTTTAGAAAATAGTTTGCTGGATGAGTCTGGGGTGTAGGCAGCTCTTCTGGGAGGAGGTTTGTGTCATCTGGGCTCCATTAGCAAAGGAGGAAATGCAGGGCATGAGCTCATACGTGGACACCTGAAGTCGCAGGAGGTAAAGCTCGCCTCACCCGTTCCCTTTCTGTGCTTACATCCTTTCCTGCTGAGACCTTTCAGTCTCGGATGAAATCCCGAACTAGACTGTATTTTTATTACAGTCAGGCATGGACTTCATCCATGTGAAAGTTGCTCAGGTGGCATCCTTCAAAGCTGCAGGTTGTCCTTCCCTTGACTGACGTCTCAGCTGCTGGGTCAGACACCGTACACATGCTGTTAGGTGTATTTTGGGAACACATCCTGCCCTGCTGGCTGCACTTGAGTGGTTTTTTTTCCTCCTAAAATGCTCATAGCTCGTGGGAAAACTTATTATCCCAACCCCTTACCCAAGCAGGTTTGGATTTTGAGTGTTACATACAGGAATGATGAGCAGTTTGAAAGAATTGCTATCGCTTGTGAAGCAGATCAGGCTTGGTGGTGTAGCATTGCATGGATTTGTGCTTGCAGGAGGGGGTTGATGCTTGATTTGGAGGTGTCAGTTCTGTTCAAGAGCCTCTCTTTGGCTTCCTTTGTACCCTAGCACCTTACCTGTATAACGAGAAAACTCTTTGAAGGTGCCTAACAGCATGTACATGACTTGTTAAAATTGCGTGAATAAGGCAGCAGAAATTCTTACAGGGCTTATGCATTTTACTGAGTTAGAGCATATATAATATCAGGTACATCAGTATAACTATTGAATTGAATAAAAGGCCACTGAGGACAATGTGTTGAGGAAATAGAGAGCAGCCATGAAAGCAAAATAAATCAGAATCAAGATGAAATTTTCTCAATCTGCTGATAATTCCTGTCTCTGCCTTCTGAAGACTTCGGGCATGCATCAGCTCTGCTCTCACGTGTGCTGTTATCCTAGTTTCATTTTGGCAAGTTGAAGGCACCTTTTAACCTTGTCCTTGGGTGGTAACTTCAGAGCAGAGATATTTGTACCAGACTTCTGTGGCTCACGAGCAGGGGATAGGTCAAGTGTTCTTGGGAGGCTCATTTCACGCGGCGTCCAAGCCTGCGTTAAAGTCTGTTTTACCAACCCCTTCCAAAGATGAAGACCACTGAAATTTTGGCTTTATGCAGGCAAAAAGCTTTTCTGTTGCTGAGCATCGTTTAGTTTCTTGGTCCATTAAGTGCTTTAGCTGAAAATGAGCACCCGAGGGGGCTTTCTGAAGTCCTTGTAGAAGTGAGGATCTTCACTTCCTCCGAGTGCATTGTTTTTTCCTCTTTACCTGCAAGATCTTACTGAATTGTTCAGATTTAGCTCAAACTTGTAAAATGAGAAGATATTTTCCTGGCCTTGCTACACGATGATCTGATGATCAGAAAGGAAACAAATAACATGCAGTGGACATGCAGAACACAGTGGAAGCAGCAGCCTCCACAACAGTTGTATTTAGGTGGACAGCGTGTGCCCTTCTCAGGGCTACTAAAGACATTTTTAGACACTCAGACCTTTTTCAGCTTGCTGTGGCCTGCCAGCAGGTGAATTTTGTCTAGGAATAAAGCATTCCCTCTCCCACTGCAGTGCTAAACCCGGCATTTCTGCCATCAGTTTGGGAATTGGCTGCTTTCCCATTAAATTGCTTACTAGGTTTCTGAGGATCTCCCCCTCTAGAGAGGTGACTGAGGTGCTGAGTGTGGTGCTTCCTGAGGTGCAGGCAGTGGTGAATACTCAGGAGGGGCAGCACAGTGTTGCCCTGACACAGCCTTTGGGTGAAGCTCGTGGCCTGGGGCATGTTCTGGTTCCAGCCTGCCAGGCATCACCTCCTTGTGCTGTCTTAGGCTAAAAACAAACCTGAAGTGAGCACTTGTCTGTTACCAGTTCTGGTGATTTCTCACTGTCCATCGCCCAAAGCAGGAGCATGATCTGTTCAAACACAAGCTGATGAGGAATACGATGGCACTTGGGGAAGAAGAAACAAATGCTGTGAAGATGCATCATCTTCATCAAAGCCTTACTAAGTTTAAATAGGTTTTCATCCTTTGTCAAAGGAATGCATTGGAAAAGGGACTGATCACACCTGATCCTCCCAACAGCTCCTTTGATGGAGCCACCAGCCACCGTTGCTCAGTGTCTGAACACTGCACGGTGACATCCAGCTACCACTGAAATAGCATTTGCAAGATGAACTTAAAGTTGATTTTTATTGGTAGTTGATGTTTTCCGTTCATTGCTGACAATGGGAACTCTTAGAGACTTCCAGCAACCTCTGCTTTTCAAGCATGAGCTGTAAAACCATTGCAACTGTCTGCACAGTGGCAGAGAATTCACTGTGCCCACAGGATTTGTAAAGAGAGGCTCTTCACCTGAGAAATCAGCTGAAATTCAGCTTTTGGGAGTGGGGGATTGCTCATGCTTTTAAATGTAATGAGCATTCAGCTGTTTATAATGATGAATTTAGAAGGAAAGGGAAGGGAGCAAAGCTGTGAATATGGGTGGGCTTCTGTGTACCATAATTTCTGGGCCCCATTTGTGGCATTACTCTGATTTCTGAAACCTGATCTTACTCTTGTGTGGCTGATGTAGATGACTTCAATTACTGACAGATTTAATCCTATTAGTTCTATTTTAAGTGGTGTTTTTACATGGCCATTTTCCATTTTTCATGTGTAGGTAGCTGAAACTTCCCCAAGCTGGTTCCTCTCTTGTTTTGCCTTTCTTGACACTTACTCCATTGTGTGGACAGGGTCGCAAGCTTCTCATCATTGGAACCACCAGTCGCAAAGATGTCCTGCAGGAAATGGAAATGCTGAATGCTTTCAGCACTACAATTCATGTGCCCAACATTGCAACAGGGGAGCAGCTGATGGAGGCTTTGGAGGTAAGAAAAAGTTCAGTGATGACAAACAAGCTCAAAATGTGTTGGAAATGAGGAATTTTGCAGTAGATCTGTGTTCGGGAGCACTGTTCCACTTAACATTATGTCATAACCTAACAGTTCTAGGGTTGCTCTGAATTACTCTTTCATACATTAAATTAAGGGAGAATGAGAGAATAGTAGGTTCAGGGAAGAAGTTTGTGGAGTGGATTGAAAGATTCCAAGGGCATGGAAGTGGGTAATGAACATAACTGGGACACTTAAAATTAATGTTCCTTGAGAGTGCCAAGCTCTCATGATTTGGAACAACACCGGATGAAAGGTTTTGGTGCTGAAGAGATTGTAGGTTCTTTACAAATTTATGCCCTTAATGGCTTCTTATTCTATGTCAGAGTGGAAATTGTAGTGAATTTTGAAAGCTGTTAAAGCAACTTGCAGGCAAATCTTCTGTGCCAGCTTGCAGAATTGTCACAATGATAACAGAATCATAGAATCCCAAAGTGGTTTGGGTTGGAAAGGACCTTAAGATCGTCCAGTTCCAACCCCCTGCCATGGGCAGAGATGCCTCACACTAGGCCATGTCACCCAAGGCTCTGTCCAGCCTGGCCTTGAACACTGCCAGGGGTGGAGCATTTACCACTTCTTTGGGCACCCTGTGCCAGCACCTCAGCACCCTCACTGTAAAGAACTTTTTCTTCATATCCAATGTGAAAACTTCCCCTGTTTCAGTTTGAATCCATCACCCCTTGTCCTGCTGCTACAGCCCCTGATGAAGAGTCCCTCTCCAGCATCCTTTTAGGCTCCCTTCAGATAACAGCACCAGAGCCTGAAAGACACAGATGCTCTTGCAGCAGTTTTGGAAACTCACTTTGGCTTGAGCCACTCACTGTGTTCCTTTTAGAGTCTAATCTGGAGAAAAGCTCAAATGCATCATAAAAGAGACTGTTTGATTAGAGATTTTAAGAACTATTATCAAATAATGTGTTTTGCCTTGTCTAGATATATTGCAACAAATTATCCTTTCAAGCTAGAACATGCTTTCTAGCTCCTCATTCTCTTTTTCCCGAGTTAGGTAAGATGGCATTATTCCTACTGACAGTTTCCTCTTGTTGATTATTTATCTTATTGTATTTTATTCCCCCCTCCCAGCTCCTGGGTAACTTCAAAGACAAGGAACGCAGCGCTATTGCACAGAATGTCAAAGGAAAGCCTGTCTGGATTGGTATCAAGAAGCTGCTGATGCTGATAGAAATGTCATTACAAGTAAGAATGGTTCTGGTCCAGGAAGGACTGGGGTAAATGGAGCAGTCTCAGAGGTTCCCACTTCTCTGCAGACTCCTGCTTTAGCTTTGTGGTGGGAGCCTTTGAATTGGTTTGAGAAAAGAGCTACAGTGAGAAGAAATGTTCTGAACAAAGAAATCACCAGGTCTTGGTCCACAGAGAGCTCTTTCAAACCCACAGTGCCTATAGGCTGTTTAGAGCTGCACTTCAGAGAAGAGCATCTGGCAACTGGCGGGATTGGATTAACTCACCTTTCATGAAATTTCTTCTCTACACCCAGCATGTTAAGATTGCAGATAGCAATCACTGAGGATTCTTCTATTTTTCTTTTCAAGAAGAAGGTGCCTGTGCAGGTGTATGTTTTTTTCCCTGAAGAAGATAAATCTGTCAGGCTGTTCAGCTGCTCTTCTCTTTATTTTCCACTTTCAGCACTTTAAAGAAAATAATTGCAGAGGGGAGAAATATGTAGCTCTTAACCCTCCCCCGCAGCCATCAGCCATGCCTGCAAGCAGCCATCAAGCTTGTGCTCGACAGTGTATGCATGCTAAAAATGAGAGGGTGTAACATGCAGCCCTAATCCTCCACGCTGACATCCCAGCGCCCTTCGGAGTCCTTCCCCCCCCCTCACACACACTCTCTTTTCACATCAAATGGATTTAGTGCAGCTGAGTGAACTGTCCTTAGATCTTCCTAGGAGAGGCTGAGCATAAGCTAAGAGGCATGTAGTTTAGCAGCATATAAGTCATGTATCCCTCTGTTCACTATTCACAATTCTGTTAAAACTTGCACAGCACTAAGGATATGCTCTGACTGGATGTCACCTCAGGGAATAAAGTCATTTATCTAGATTACTTTTTCCTCTTCTTCCTTGGCTTTTAATTCCATACCTACAGGCAAGTCAGTAAGTCATTGCTCACATGTATTAAATGTATTTATGGGGTGCAGGCCTTCAGGGACTGCCTGGCTCTGTTGCAGTCCATTTCACTCAGCCTTGACAATGAATTCCTTCTTCTGACACAGGACGTTCTCTTTTTCTGCTTTGACCTTAAGTATTGGTTCTTTTCAAACCTGAAGGTGAAGGTTATGTAAATCATGGGCAGTTCTGGGTGGGTGGAAATGCTCACCTTGTTCACAGCATCGCCCCATGGCTGCACACCCATGATGCTGTAGGCAGGGGGTCTTCATGCTGCCCTAAACTGTGCAGACAGGTAAACTTGTGTGTTGTGCTGTTGGGTTTTTTTAACCAGAACACTCTTCGTAGATGAGGCTATGACCACTTGGGCTGGGAGAAGACAGGCAGGCCTGTGACTCTGTGCTCTTTCTGACACATTGAACAAGTGTAAAATGAAGAGCTGCTACTGCCAACGGAGATGGTTGATCCACCTTTGCTGCTGTACATGGAGGGTTGGTAGTAAGGCCACTTACGTTCTTACACTTAGTTCAGGTGATTGTGTAATGGCATATGGAAGCTAAATATGAAGAAGGTCTGTTCCAAAAGGTGTGAGGTGTTTACATGACTCCATCTGCTGAACTGCTATAAATAAGGAGAACACTCATGCCTGAATGCATTGGAAGACCACAATGTTACCAAGTGTGGCTAGTTTTTACAGGAAATCAGAATTTCACCACATGAGAAGTGCGAGACTAGTTCCTTTTTTTCACTGAGCTGGACCACAGCTTTTTAGAAAGAGATTTGAATCTAAAATCCCTTATTTTTTCTCAAAATTCAGCTGATCAGATCCTGTGGTGAATGGCAAAAATGTGCACCTTGTTTCTTCTCTGAAGGTGAATGAAGGCTCTTCAGTTGCCTGTTTCCCTAAGGGCTCCCAGGCATGCCTGGGGGATACTGCAATGCCTGGAAAGGAACTTGTCTGAGCTGTGTCACAGAGTCAGTCTTTGCACTGTTCTTCTAGAAAACCTTTCATCCAGTTTGCAGCAGCATTTCTGCCTTCACAGAGCACAAGGGGGACTGTTCAAGAGTCCTGAATCTGCTTCCTCTTTGCACTCTATGGATCCTTCCAGAGCAGATCAACCTTCTGGGTTTGTGTCTGGATTTTTTTAATGAGCTATTTGATCAAGTTTGCATTTTTATGGCCTTTCAGCTTCCTGCTTTAGTCTTCTGGACAAGATACTGT